GTCACTACATAACTGTTCAGCAGTATTCACCTATCAAAGTATTTGTTGTGAGTGTAGATTATCAATTGAAAACACTACTCTTGTTTTCTTAATTGTACAGTTTTCAATGTCCCTTTCTTAAAGAGACAGTGTATTTCTCTTCACCCCTAGTCCCATCTTCCTTCACCCTCCTGAATGACATCAGGAGGTATATCCAGGGTGTCTCCTTCCTTCCTACTCTCTTGACCAGAAGTTACCAGACTATACTGTCTCTTTAAAAATAAAATTTAAAAAGCTTTGTTGTCTTTTCAGACATACATATGCATATACGTTTTAGATGTTCTTATAAGAGAAAAGATGGTTTTTAAATGTGCCAAGTTGTGTGTGTATATATATATATATATGTGTGTGTGTGAGTGTGTGTGTGTATATGTATATGTACATATATACACACATCTGCTGCGTGATTGGTAAGCAATACAATAGTAAACATGTCCCCATTACTTTTTTCTAATATTGGACCAATGCTGTCCTAATTGTACATTTCCCCTTATGGTGACGATGCTCTGACTTGTTTAGGTAGACACATTGACCACCTTCCATTCCATTGAATCTTTTTTTCTTTTTCTCCTTTCTGTGTCATTCTTGAGGAAAAAACAAAAGAGATAGGGGATGCCAGTGATTCCCTTGAGCAGAGAAAAAAAGCAAAATAAATATTTTATTAAAAAAGAATTAAGAAAATAGTTTGGAGTATTTTCTTACTGTAGAGAAGCACTGTACATTACTAAGAGACCTGGGTATAAGATACTCACATGTGGAGCTGGAAAAATCGCATGTCCAAGCCCGTTTGAGTGGTTTCTTTTGTTTTTCATTGCAGGGAGTGGGTGGGAGGGAGGTGGGACTAGGGGCACTTTGGGGGTCTCCTTTTAGTCAAAAGCGAGAAAATGACAAGAAAGAGATTAAAATTCAATGTTTCCTTTATAGTGTTAAACACTAAAATTTTAAAAAAGACAAAAAAGAAAAAAAACTTTGTAAAATTCGAGAACAGAAGCAAAAGACACTACGCTCTGTCATTTTATCTTTCTTTTGTTGAAAGACTAAAAAAAACTGAAATGTTTTTTAGACAATCAAATGTTAGGTAAGTGCAAAAACTTGTTTTTTCTTACTGGTGTAGAAATTAATGCCTTTTTTTATTTTTCAGTTATTTTATAATAACGAAATAAAAAGAACCCCCCCAGCTGCCAGGCGGGTTTTGGTGTTTGAAATGCGGGGCAAAGCACTACATCACTGCAAATAGATACAGTTAGTCTGCATGTCTGTAGGCTGTGTGATTGCGGAGAATATAAATGCTGCTAATATATTTCCTTTTTACAAAAGCATATCTAAATAGATGATTGTTTTGATGTTAATCTTTGTAAATTATGTATTACCAATTTTAACATTGGATGTAATTGCATACAAAGCTTGCATCTCAATCCTTGAAAGTCTAGTATTAAATGGAAAAAACTTTTCCTAACTGTGTTCTGGTGAGCTTGCTATTTTTTTCCTCTTTCTTATCCCCCATTTATCTTCCAAGAACAACTTCATCCTGTTTCTGAGGGGATCTTTCTGAAACAACATCATAAACATGCCATGCTGCATATAAACGCTCTCACTGACTACTGGAGAACGTCATTTCTTCAGTACTAGGATCTTTCTACTCGGGACCCAGCCTAACGAATCAGCACAATAATCACACACACCAAATGTCCAGTTGCTTTTTTTGTTTTTTGTTTTTGAGACAGGGTCTCACTGTTACCCAAGGTGGAGTGGAATGGTGCTATTTTGGCTCACTGCAACCTCCATATCCCAGACTCAAATGATCCTTCTGCCTCAGCCTCCCAAGTAGCTGGAACTACAGGCACACACCACCATGCCTGGCTAATTCTTGTACTTTTTGTGCAGACAGGATTTCACCATGTTGCCCAGGCTAGTCCAGCTGTTTTTTGTTTGTTGGTTTTTTGTTTTTAAGACAAGGCCTCACTCTATTGCCCCGGCTGGAGTGCAGTGGCGCATTACAGCTCACTGCAAACTCAACCTCCTAGGCTCAAGCAATCCTCTCCCCTTAGCCTCCTGAGTAGCCAGAACTACAGGGGCGCACCACCACACCTGGCTAATTTTTTTTTTTTTTTTTTTTTTGAGACAGAGTTTTGCTGTTGTTACCCAGACTAGAGTGCAATGGCACAATCTCGACTCACCACAACCTCCGTCTTCTGGGTTCAAGCAATTCTCCTGCCTCAGCCTCCTGAGTAGCTGGGACTACAGGCGCGTACCACCATGCCCAGCTAATTTTTGTATTTTTAGTAGAGACGGGGTTTCACCTTGATGACCAGGATGATTTTCATCTCTTGACCTCGTGATTCACCCCCCTCAGCCTCCCAAAGTGCTGGGATTATAGATGTGAGCCATCGCGCCCGGCCATGTTTTTATTTTTTATAGAGATGGGGATCTCCCTGTGTTGCCCAGCCTGGTCTCAACTTCTGGGCTCAAGTGATCCACCCACCTCAGCCTCCCAAAGTTCTGGGATTAGAGACATGAGCCACCATGCCTAGCCCAGCTGGTTTTTTTCTTTTTCTTTTTCTTTTTTTGAGACGGAGTCTCAGCTCACTGCAACCTTTGCCTCCCGGGAATCAAGCGATTCTCCTGCCTCAGGCTCCCGAGTAGCTGGGACTATAGGCACGTGCCACCACGCCCAGCCAATTTTTGTATTTTTAGTAGAGATGGGGTTTCACTGTGTTGGCCATGCTGGTCTCGAACTCCTGACCTCATGGTCTGCCCGCTTTGGCCTCCCAAAGTGCTAGGATTGTAGGCGTGAGCCACCACACCCGGCATTTTTTTTTTTTTTTTTTTTTGAGTCTTAGTTTCCCTCTGTCACCCAGGCTGGAGTGCAGTGTTGCAGCCTCGGCTAACTGCAATCTCCACCTCCTGGGTTCAAGGGATTCTCCTCCCTCAGCCTCCCAAGTAGCTGAGATTATAGTCAGCTGCCACCATGCCCGGCTAAATTTTTTGTATTTTAGTAGGGACATGGCTTTCACCATGTTGACCAAGCTGGTCTCACATGGTTTCTTAAACATGCCATGTGGCCGGGCACGGTGGCTCATTCCTATAATCCCAGCAGGAGTGCAGATCACAAGGTCGGGAGATCAAGACCATCCTGGCTAATACAGTGAAACCCTGTCTCTACTAAAAATACAAAAATTAGCCAGGTGTGGTGGCAGGCGCCTATAATCCCAGCTACTCGGGAGCCTGAGGCAGGAGAATTCCTTGAACCCAGGAGGCGGAGGTTGCAGTGAGCTGAGATTGTGCCATTGCACTCCAGTGTGGGCAACAGAGTAAGACTCTGTTTCAAAAAAAAACCAACATGCTATGATAGTCTACATGTCCATTTGCACACACATGCATCATCATCTCATTAATTCTCATTAGCAACCACTGAGGCTGGCAATATATAACTTTAGGCTGCATTTTTTTAGGCCACTTTGTTAGACCATTTCTATCATAAGCCTTTTCCATGTATTTATTAATCCTCACAAAAGCCCTTTGTGGTAGGTGCCAAATCCCAATTTTGTAAATGAGGAAATTGAAGCAAAAAACAATGTAAGTAACTTGCCCAAGTCACTAGTTAATCTCCATAGTAGCCCTCTGAAGTCATTCGCATTTTGTAAGAGGGAAAACTAACACTGGAGTAGGTTAAGGAACTTGCCAAAGGTCACCCACTAACTAATGTTGGAGCCAGAATTCCAAAGTCTGTGTGCTTATCCACAAATAGAAAAGTGTCAAAAATAGCTAAAGTGACTCTTCTCATTAAGGAAGATAAACCCATTCCTCCAGATAACTGAAAGGCCTACTAAAATTTTGTCCCAGACATGAGTCAAACATTTAGGCTGGAGGTCAGCTAGAATACAGTTGCTCAGAAGCAGCAAGACAGTTTACTCCAACAGTTCAGTCTCTACTCGTATAAGGACTTTAGGTTCAAGACTAGATCAGCCTGACCTGCTGTTACATAATGGTTTCTTGATGACTGCAAAAACAATATGCACTGTTAAATTTTCTTGAGCTTATCTTTCTTTCCTTCTTTCTTATTTTTGAGATGGAGTTCGCTTTTGTTGCCCAGGCAGGGGTACAATGGTGCGATCTCAGCTCACCACAACCTTTACCTCCTGGGTTCAAGCGATTCTTCTGCCTCAACCTCTCTAGTAGCTGGGATTACAGGCATGTGCCACCACGCCCAGCTAATTTTGTATTTTTAGTAGAGACAGGGTTTCTTCATGTTGGTCACGCTGGTCTCGAACACCTGACCTCAGGTGATCCACCCGCCTCAGCCTCCCAAAGTGCTGGGATTAACAGGAGTGAGCCACCATGCCTGGCTGAAAAAAATGGTGACATTTCTTACAACTCTGTTGTTTTGAGACAGGGTCTCACTTTGTCACCCAGGCTGGAATGCAGTGGCACAATCTCGGCTCACTGCAGCTTCTACCTCCTGGGCTCAAAGGATCCTACTGCCTCAGCCCTCCAACTAGCTGGGACCACAGGCATGTGTCACTACACCTGGTTGATTTATTTTTTGTAGAGACGGGGTTTTGCCATGTTGCCCAGGCTGGTTTTGAACTCCTGAGCTCAAGCGATTTGCTTGCCTCAGCCTCCCCAAAGTGCTGGGATTACAGGTGTGAGTCACTGTCCCTGATAACTCTTTAGTCCTTTCCTTCACCTCAGATATGAACTACAATTTCAAGAGCCAAGTCTTCTCTCCTCCCCTATATTTATGCAGGCTCCTATCCTGTCAGTCTTAACAAAATAGATAAAGTCATAGAATAGAGAAGCACTTGTGAGATTCAGGAACCAATGAGGGGACTACTCTATTCAGGGAGCATTACGAACCAAACCTGGGCTAGGAATAAACATCTGCCTTATGTCTCCCATAAGAGGTCCTTCTTCCCCTCCCCCATAGCCTATGTCCTGAAACCCACAGTGAAAGACACACATTCATCTCCCATACTTTATTGGGACAAAGGAGGAAGGGTGCAGACCATCACCACAGGCCCACCCACCAGGGGTGTCCAGGCTTCAGCACCTAGTACATGGTGAGTACATTATCAACACAGGCAGTGTGGGAGGGGCGAAGTGGGGAAGACTCCATACACAGGAAGGAGTGAGGTCCTTCTAGGCTCGGGGGCTGAGGCTGAGGCATGTATTGTACTGGCACAGTCCACTTACGGATGAAGAAGGAGGTCTAGATTTCCATTTTGCAGATAGGAAGGAAGACATTCCCTTATACAGATGGGAAAAAGGAAAGGGATTGCATGGAAGGCAATTCCCTTTTTATATATTTGGAAGAAGAGCAGATTTCACCTTACAGGTGGGCATAGGAGGGAAGAAGGAATGTTTATTTTAAATATTAGCAGAAACAGATGTGGGAAGAAATGTCATTTTGCAGACAGGGAAAATGCTTCTGGGATGGTGTTCACTGGCCATTCCCAGTGAACACCAGGAGGGAGACACATATGCAGAAAAGGGTCCCAGGGCTACAGAACAAGGGAGGTATACCCCACAGGCACCAGACCCTCCACGCCATCCCGCCCACAGCGGAGCCAATCCTCATCCACTGTGGTGATGACACGCAGCACTTCCCCACGCCGGAAGCTCAACTGGTCAGGTCTTGCAGCTGTGTGGTCACAGAGAGCCCGAACTGCCCTGAGAGGAGCCAGAGGAAGATACTGGAATGAAGTGAGGTGAGGGTGCCCAGCTGTACCCAGGCCTCACCTCTAAATAGTGCCCTTGTGGATTCAGCTCAGTGAATATTGACTGGGCTCTGGAAGAGACTTGAGAACCATTCATCAGCGTGGTTATTCTATCTGGGGTCTCAGCCTTCTCCCAAGTGCCAAACCCACTCCAGCTGCTTATTTGACACTATTTACACTCCTCTCTGGTGCTTCAAATTCAACATATCAAACAAAATGACTCACCCTCAAAACCAGTCCCTCTTCATGTTGCCTGTAGTGGTAAACAGCACCAATTTCTACCCACACTTACTCCTGGTAAAACCTGGGCATCTCATGCCACAGATCCAATCCATCAACAAAACTTGCTTGGATCTCCTCCTACTACATCTACTTTTTTTTTTTTTTTGAGACAAGAGTCTCTCTCTGTTGCTCAGGCTGGGGTGCAGTGGTGTAATATCAGCAATCTCCACCTCCTGGGTTCAAGCAATTCTTCTGCCTCAGCCTCACGAGTAGCTGGAACTACAGGCACCTGCCACCATGCCCAGCTAATTTTTGTATTTTTAGTAGAGACGGGGTTTCACCATGTTGGCAAGGCTGATCTCAAACTCCTGACCTCAGGTTATCCACCCGCCTCGGCCTCCCAAAGTGTTGGGATTACAGGCGTGAGCCACTGCACCCAGCCCCCATGTACTCTCTCTTCAACTCTGCTGCCACCATCCTAGTGTAAGCTTCTATCCGATCTCTCTGGACAATCTAACTTGTCTGCCTAAATCTCTCTCAACCTCTTCCCCAGTCCTGTTTTCCCCATAGCAGTCAGATCTCTCTAAAACACAAGCAAGGCTGGGCGCAGTGACTCACTCTTAAAATCCCAGCACTTTGGGAGGCCGAGGCGGGCAGATCACAAGGTCAGGAGTTCAAGACCAGCCTGGCTGACATGGTGTAACCTCGTCTCTACTAAAAATACAAAAATTAGCCAGGCATGGTGGTGGGTGCTTGTAATCCCAGCTACTCAGGAGGCTGAGGCGGGACAATCACTTGAACCTGGGAGGTGGAGGTTGCAGTGAGCCGAAATCATGCCACTGCACTCCAGCCTGGGTGAGAGTGAGACTATATCTCAAAAAAAAAAAAAAATTATGTTTAGTCTCTATAACCACAAAAAATGTATCATATCCTCTTATAGAAAGAATCCTGGCCAGGCACAGTGACTCATGCCTATAATTCCAGCACTTTGGGAGGCCAAGGCGGGCTGATCACCTGCAGTCAGGAGTTCGAGACTAGCCTGACCAACATGGTGAAACCCCGTCTCTATTAAAAACATAAAAATTAGCCTGGCGTGGTGGGAGGCGACTGTAGTCCCAGCAACTCAAGAGGCTGAGACAGGAGAATCGGTTGAACCTGGGAGGCGGAGGTTGCAGTGAGCCAAAATTGTACCACTGCACTCCAGCCTGGGTGACAAAGCGAGACTCCATCTCAAAAAAAAAAAAGGAATCCAAGGCTCAGACGAATGAGTGTCACATGATAACAGAAAAGCTGCAATGCACACTAAGCACTGTCTTATTTTAAAGCCCAGGGTTTTTTACGCTACCTCCCATCCATGCTGTGATAACATACGGTTACACACTAGTGCATTCCCCCCAATCCTCCTTACCTATGGGTTGGCACCACCCTGGGTGCTGAGACCTCAAGCTCCTGAGGAGAAGGCGTCTCGGGAGGTGCCCCCCGCTTCACAAGAGCCAACATGCTCACTGTTGGGGGCAGCCAGCTAGATGGTCTCCTAAAAGAAGGGACATAGGGTCACAGGTCAACCCACCCTCAGAAAACCCAAGAACCCTGGGGTCTGGAGGGAGAGAGAGGCTAAGGGGCCTAACTGTGGTTCAAAAGAGGTCAGGGGTTAGTCACCTTTGAGAGCAGAGTGGTAACTGTTGGACACAAGCACTTTCAGGCTGATTAGGGGGATGACAACAGAGGTCCACACCACTGCACATCACAAGGAACCTATGGACCCATCAGGGCCTATACAAGCTCAGGATGAAAGGGCCACTACAGAGTATCTCAAACCATTAAAGAGCCACCACTTGTTGAGGCCTGGAGAAGGGATTGGCAATTTTTTTTAAATTTTTTTTTTTTTTTTTTTGAGACGGGATTTCACCATGTTGGCTGGGCTGATCTCGAACTACTGACCTCAGGTGATCCACCCGCCTCGGCCTCCCAAAGTGCTGGGATTACAGGTGTGAGCCAGCATGCTGGGCCAGGGGTTGGCAATTTTTTTTTTTTTGGAAAGGAGACAGGGCCTTACTCTGTTACCCCAGCTGGAATGCAACAGTGTGATCATGGCACAGCAGCCTCAACCTCCCAGGTTCAAGCAATCCTCCCACCTCAGCCTCCTAGAGTAGCTGGAACTACAGGTACGTGCCACCATGCCCAGCTAATGTTTGTATTTTTTTGTAGAGATAGGGTTTCACCATGTTGCCCAGGCTGTTTTTCTTTTTTCTAAAGGACCAGATAGTAAAGACAGTTGACTCTTGAACAAAGTAGGTTTCAAATGCACAGGTCCACCTATATGCAGGGTTTTTTTTAACCGAACAGAAAATGCAGTATTCTTGATGTAAAACCCGCATATACTGAGGGCTGTCTTTTCCTACACATCGACTGAGTATGCTCAGACTTGAGTGCATGTGAGGGTCCCAGAACCAATTCTTCACATGTAACTAAGGATAACTGTATTCTAGGCCCTAGGGCCAAGGGAGAAAATCGAGATCATTATGTAGGCACTTAATATAACCATTAAAATGTAGCTACTTTTAGCTCATGGCTGTAGAAAAACAGACTGCCACCTTCTGCCCTAAAGGATCGTCCCTAGAGAGTTTCAAATGAGCCCACTGAGAGACCAGAGAGAGTCAGAAGGTCTTAGAGAGGACAAGATACCCCATTACCTGGACTTGAGGGCTCCACTCTCATTTTCTGCGGTGCCCCCAGGCACTCCAAATAGCCTTCCCAGCCAAAGGCCCCTGCCTGGTGCCGTTTCCTCTGTGGGCAGGGGTCTCTCCCGTGCACCTTCTTCAGCTCCAGTCCCATGACGCCCGGGTGCCCATCGGGAAAAAGGGAAGCCCTCAGTGCCCCCAGAGGCATAGACCCGGGAGGCCTGGGTCAACTGCTCCCACCAGCTCCCTGGTGTGGGAAGGTTTGGGGAGTCTGAGGGGTCTGGAGCAGCCTCCTTGGAAGTCCCCCGAAGGCTCTGGGCCAGCCGCCCACCCAGATGCAGCACGGCTTGCATAGTCTGCTGCAGAGCTGGAGGTGGGCCTGGAGGGGCAGGGGCCTGAGGCGGGCCCAGGGGCAGGTGGTGGTGGTGCTCAAAGAGCAGGTCCAGGTGGAAGGTGAGCACCGACAATGGCTGCAGCAGGAGTAGCAGCTCTGTGGACAGGGAGGGACAGCCACCGCGGGCCAGGGAGAAGAATCCTGTGGGCAGGTACAGGAGGGAGAGCAGGCCTGGAAAAGAGCAGGCCAACATCAGCTACTGCCCTGGACCTAGTCCCAGAGGACCCCCCAGAGCAGACCACTGCTCAGCACACATCCTCCCAGGCCTCACTCTGCTGGGAACGGGGGAAGAGAGGAGGAAGGACGTGGTGGGCTATAGGACTGACATCCCTGCCTGCATGGAACCTAGCCCAAATAGGAAGACACACACAGCAAATGGTGACAAGTAACTCAGTGACAGTGCAAAGGCTACAGAGGAGGACAAGACGGCCATAGAGGCACAAACAAAACGGGGTGGGGGTTGGCCTAGTCTGAGGGTAAAGGTAGGGGAAGTCCTTCCCCATCAATGATGGGGAAAGACTCAAAGGATGAATGACAGTTAATGAGGAAGCAAGAGGGACAAGGAGGCTGATTCTAGGTGGAGGAACAGCATAAGCAGGGCCCTGTGGCAGGAAGGGCCAGGTGGGAAGACTGTTGGCAAGACCAGGAAAAGCCCTGGCCTTCAGGGAAAGAGGGCAGAGGCCAGACAGCCAAGGCTTTGGGTCTTTCATCTTATGGGTGATGGGCATCCTTGGAAGTTTCAATTCGGAGAGTAGTAAGATCGGAGATCTGGCTTAATGGCATTCTGGCACCAGTGGGAACCAGCAGGAGAGAACCCTTTCCTTCCCATCCTCTCAGCCCATCAGCCCCATCCTCTCCCATCTGAGCCTCTGACCTGCATCTTCCTGGAGGCTGGAAAACCACAGCTCCAACTGCTTGGTGCTGGGGAAGAAAAGAGGGAATGGAAATTCAAGGAGGTGGAGGACTCCGTCCTCTCTGGGTGGAGGATGGGAGATAAGATTGGAAGAGGGGAGGCCTTCTCTGGGGACGTGAGGCACTACTCCTGTGTCCCACCCATGACGCTCCTACAGTCCCAGGTCGTGGGAAGGGCACTGGGAAGAAGGCAACTCACTTGAGGAGGCCCAGGATAAAGGCATGGAAGCGGCTACGGCTGCTGCTCAGCGGAGCTAGACGGCTGACCTGGCTATACAGGGTTCCGAGGGAGCGGGTGCTGGAGCCTGAGAACGTGGTGTGCAGTCAGCCAAGCCCGGCCCTGCCCTGCGCGCTGTCGGGTCCCACACCCTCCCAGCTCACCTGGCTTCACCGACGCCTCCACCACGCTCCAGGGGCTGCTCCTGCGCTGCCCGGTGATAAGGTCCTTCCGGAAAGGCTTCAGCCCGTCCGCCACCAGGGCGTGGAGGGCCGGGCAGAGGGTGGTCAGCACCAGATGCCCCACATCCGGGCTCAGCCGGCTATCACCCAACTGGGCCTGGAGGCGGCGCGATTCGGATGGGTCCAGAGATCCCTTCAGCCACCTCCCACCAACCGTTCCCGCACCCCTCGCCGGGCTCCATGACTCTCTTCATCCCCAACAGCCTCCCCCCAGCCACCTTCACCTTCTGCACCAAATTCCGGGCGGCCCCGAAATGCGAGATGATTTTATCCACCGAGGCGCTAACAGCTATCAGAAGACCTGGAGGGGCGGAAAAGGGAAGACGCTAGGAGGCCGCGCCCCTACCCAGGCTTGCCTGAAGGGCGTGGAGAGACTGGCTTCTGACAGCCAGAGAGAGCAGGGCCGGGGCGAGGGGTGGTTCCTTCAGAAGCGCAGGGTCGGGAGTCAGGGTGCCCTACCTTTCTTCTGCTCCTGCAGCTGACCAGTCCCACTCTGGGCTTCTGCCATCCACAGCCGCTGGGCCCCGGGGACACCGGCGAACGACCACGAACTACGGACTGGGGTAGGGGAAGAAGGGCGTGGTGACACTTACCAAGGGTTATTCCGAGGACTCCGGGCTCCCGCACAAGTTGTCTCCCGCGGGTCTGCAGCGCTCTGTCCCCGAAGGGTCTTGGGGAGATGAGGCGCAGGGCCGCCTGGAGCACGGGGCAGCTAGACCTGAGCCCCCGAGAGAAATCCCGCCACTTCCCAGCACTCGCTGTCCCCAGGCCCACCCCGGTTCCCGGTGCCCTCCCTCAGGACACAGCTCCCCCCTCCAGGATCCCGGAAATCCGGGAGCGGGATGGCCGCGCTCACCTCCCGCCTACCCCGCTAGGCCAGTAAGGCCCGAGAGGACAGGGCGCGGGAGGGAGGAGCAGCCCTGCGCACCGCCCCTGGGCCGAGTCCAGCCTGCGGGGCCCGGGAGAGCACGTGGGCGGTACGGACCAATGGAAAGACAGACAGAGGGGAAAAGGGAGGAGACGGAGGGAGGCGAGACCCTAGGATTGGGAGGCTGGAAGGCGCCGGAAAGGGGAAACCTGGATCCCGCAGTAGCCCCTCGGCGGAGGGTGCCCCTTCATCCCGCGTGGGACTGGACTCGAGGAGAGGATGTGGCCAGAACCTCTAGTACCTATGAGCTCCCGGGAACTTCACCCTCCACCCATCCCGAGCAAGGTGGGGGACAGGCCCGAGCTGTCCCCCAAGGAATTCCAGGGACCGTGTGACCCGAAGTCCCTAACAAAAGACTCGCTGGGACCCCCTTAGACTTGGCATGGAGGTTGGGTAAGCCCGCGTCCACTATGCCCAGGCATGTCTGGGAGAGGGGACCGGGCCACGGAACAGAAAGGGCAACAACTCCCCCCTCCACCACGAGGAACGGGGCCAGACTCCCCAAGTCCAACTAACTTGCTTGGAGTCGGCCGAAACTGAAGGGCAGGACCAAGCCGAGCAACCCCGGAAAAAAAGCGAAAACGGGGTCGGACGAGAGAGGAAGGGGCTTTGGGGTGGGCGGGGTGGCCCGCCAGAGGCGTGGCCCGCGGGGCTTGCCCGGGTCCGTCTTACGTAGCCTGGGCTGAGGCGATGGGCTCCTGGTCCAGCGAGGGGCCTTCGGCGGACGAGGTTGCGGTGGCAGCGGGGGGGCGGGTACCTGGCGGGGTGGGGGAGCCGCGGCGGGGAAGGTGCTACTTCTGGGAAAGAGCGGGGACAGCAGCAGTGCCAGCTCGGGGCTGGCCAGGCAGGGCAAGGCTCCCCGAGTCGGAGGCGAATAGGCTCCCACTGGGGACAGGCGGACCGGCAGCAGCTGTTCCTCTGGGGGGGTCGGCGCCCCCAGCAGCCGCAGCCCGGCGCCGGGCCACCCGGCCAGAGGCGCCAGGAGCAGAGACCCAGCTGCGCCCGCGCCCCCACCCTCCAACAGGGGGCGCCCGTCGGCCGAGAACCGGAAAACCAGGGGCCGAGGGAGCAGGAGGGGACCGGCTGCAGGCAGGATTGGCGGGGCCAGGCGCAGAGGGAAGGAGGGCAGCGGGATGGGCAGCCAGGCAAGGAGGGGCGGGAAAAAGAGGGAGCAAAGAGTTAGTCCCGTAACCCAATGACCAGTTTCCCTTTCCCGGAGCGCTCCCTGGTAGAAGGGCCGGGGAGGATGGGAGACACAGAATGGAGGGAAGACAGGGGGCGGGGTTGGAAGGCTAGGAGGCGTGAGCGGCCGAAGCCCAGCCCTCCTCCCGCTTCTGACAACCTCTTACCCTCCAGGCCGGCCTGCGCGCCCGGCTCCTTCTGCTCCTTCGCGGCTGGGGCCTCCTCACCAGCCGCGGGGCTGACAGCCCGGCTCTCCTCGGACTGCCCTTCCGCTATGGGCTGCAGTCCTGGTCGGTTCTTCTTTCTTCGGGGAGGGACAGGTGGGGGTGGGGGCCGGGGCGGGACCAAAGCCCAGCCAGCTGGGGGGTCTCGAGGCGGGACTGGCGGGGGTGGGGCTCGGCTTCGGGACCGGAGTTCCTTGAAGGTGGTGACTTCCCGAGGAGGTCCAGAGGAGCCGCCCAGCGACCCCGACGGGGGCAGCTCAGTGTCGGGCGAGAAGACTATGAGCCAGTCACTGCGATCTTTCTTGGCCTGCGGGACGAGGGGCAGCCCTGGGCCCCGCTTGCGCTTCTGGGCCAGCTCGTGGAAGGACGTGATTGTCCGGTGGGGCACCGGCTCCTCGCTGACGTCACTTCTCCATCCTCCATCAATTTTCCCTGCATCTGTTTTCGAGCCAGAATCAGTTATTGTGTTGTTTTTCCAACCAGAGTCGATTTTTTCAGGTTCACTTTTCCAGCTAGAGTTAACATTCCCGTTGTTTTTCCAACCAGTGTTATTGTTTTCAGTGATTTTACAGTCAGCTTTAGTTTTCTCTGTGTCAATTTTCCAAATGGGGTTAATCTTCCAACTGGGCTCCGTTTTCCCAGCGTCGATTTTTCCATCATCCACCTCTAAGAGCTCCGAGGTAGGGAGATCCTGCTCCGCGCTCTCGTCTTCTTCCTCCAAGCCTGGGGAAGGGAGGTCCTGGCAGGTGGTCAGGGCATTGCAGTTCGAATCCAGGCCAGGGTCGGGTGAAGAAGCAGATCCGGAGCAGGAATCAGGAGAGCAGCAGAAGCTGTCCGGTGAGCAGGTGCCAGGGCCTGCTGAAGCCAGTGGGGAGCCCTGCTCCAGGGGGATGATACTGGGCTGAGGGTGGGCATCCTCATCACCAGGGAGGTCCCGCAAGTAGACAGAGACAGGGGACTCATCTGGGCTAAGATCTGAGCAGGAGCTGAGCGAGGAGGAGCAGCCTGGGTCTGAGGGAGAGGCAGCCCCCTCTTCCTCCTGTGACGGGTCTTGCCGGTTTTCTAGGCCTGGACCGTTCTCTTGGCAGCACCGGCAGGGCACAGCTGGGCTGTTGGAATTGGCGTCCACCAAGGTGCCACTGCAGGGACCCCTGCTCTCCTTGCCCCCAGTGTCTCCTGGGAGAGGGGGTGTGCTCAAGGGCCCCTCCCGTAGCTCAGGACGGCGGGACAAGTGCAGGCCCAGGGAGACGTGCTGGAGGTGGATGTGGTTGAGGTTGCAGAGTAGAGCTCTCTGAGGGGACAGCATTGTGCCGGCGGCGATGGGATGGCCTCTAGAGAACCAGGAGGATTGGGTCTCTCACATCCACCTACCTGGCAACCACAGGTGTAGACCTAGAAGACAGGGGTGGCGAAGCCCAGCCACTGAGGACGAGCTGCCGGAAGGACACCGAGGTGACCGGCGGCAGCAGCAGGCCTGAAGGCTCTGACTGCTTTGGAAGATATTTCAATGAGATGCAAATCGCAATCGACTGGCCATTAGTTTCCACTGCAGTGTTTGCAGGTGGAGTCGAATGTAACCCCCCGGGAATGGAGCGGGGAGGGTCAGAGAACGCGGCTGCGCTCTGGATCTCCGAAGGGGGGCGGGGGCCTGGAAGAGGTCGGGGCCCTGAATGGACTGCTGGGTCCCTGCTGCCGCAATCTGACCCTGCCCTCCAGCCTACCCCTTACTCCTAGATTAAGGGACCCAAGAAGACCCACCCAGATGCCCTGAAAGGAGGCAGGGGATGGGGGTGGGGCAATACGCAGAGTTTGCCTGGTAAATGCAGAAAAGGGGTGGCGGCTGGAGGAGAAAAGGATGGAGCAGCCGTCAGCTTCTCAACTCCGCATCCTCCGGCTGCCTCGGCTGGGCTCCAGCCTGCGCCCTCGCCCCTTGGAACAGCCGTGTGTCCATCATTCTCTCCGCATTCGTCTCCATCATTCAGCCACCACCGCACCCTTTCTCTATTCATTTGTCCAGCCCCGCCCAGCGTGCCCTGGTCTATCGGTCTACACCCATGGGCCGAGCCCTCCTCACCAGGGTCCTCCTGGAACCGCTCCGGCCTTGGGCTTGTCCGCGGCTCCCACGGTCCCCGCCCGGCGGGGAACAGAGCAGGAGGGGAGGGGCACTAGGACAACCCACTCTTCGCCGCGCAGCTGCACCCCTTCGCGCATGGGCGTGGCGTAGCTCAGCCCCGCCCCTAGCGCTTAGCGTCTGGTTTCACTCGCCCAGAGGGTTGGCTATATCCCAAGCTTTTGACCCCAAGGGGCGCGGATGCCAAGGCCCCTGGGTTCTGCTTCCGTGCACCGAGTCCTCCCAGCAGCCCACCCCGAGCATTCAGAGAACCAGACTCCGGCTGGGCCAAGCATTAACAGAACACAAGATTACACAATAATTTATTTATTGAGAGCCTCCTCTCCGCCCTTGCAGTCTCTAGGTCACTTTTTCCGCTTGTAGATTTTGCGCGCAAGCCCCAGAAAGATAGCTGGGGGCAGGGGCGCTGCGTACTGTTCAATCAGAGCCATAATGTGGTTGTAACTGTCTTCCTCATACTTCGAGAACACAGCCGGCAGATCCAGCTCCTCATATAATGCCTTCACTCTGGCCACCTTCTCAGCCTCCTTCTGCCCGTAATTTTCCTGGAAGGGATTGGAGACAGGAAGCTGGGCTTGGCCTTCCCCAGAGCCTCCAGGACACTCACCCCCAACCAATTCCCTTCATTCACATATTCCAGAACATCTCCAAAGCCACCCACTCCCTTCTTGCCTCCAATTTTCAAGTGTCTCTAGATAGCTAAGATCACAAGCTTCCCTTCACCATCCCAAATATTCCCCACATATTGGCTCAGACCCCAGCATCCTCTACTCCAGGGTTTTTCAACCTTGGCACAATTGAAATTTGGGACCAGATAATCCTGTCTGGGGAGCTGTTCTGTGTGTTACATGTTTGGCGACATCTTTGGCTCCTGCCAACTAGATGCCTGTACCACACACGGAGTTGTGATGACGATGACAAAAAACGTCTGCTGACATTGCCAAATGTCCCCTCGGACAAAACTGCCTCCAGTTGGGAACCACTGCTCTGGCCCTTTCTCACCAGCTCAGGGACCCACCACCCGCCCGCTCTCAAGCACCTTCAGGATCTGGCGCTGTTCCGGAGTGGACCGTTGCAGACACTGGACCACGAGCCAGCTGCATTTGTTGTCCTGGATGTCAGTGCCAACTTTGCCAGTCACACTGGGGTCCCCAAAGAGGTCAAGGTAATCATCCTGGGTGGGGGGAGGAGCAGAAAAGGAGGAAACAGATGAGGCCCCCAGGCAGAGGAGTGAAGCTGGTGCCTGTTCCCTGCAGCTGCCTCCTGCCTTCCTACCTGAATCTGAAAGAACTCTCCCATCTCCAGCAGGATCTTCTTGGCATTGGCATGCTCCTTCTCGCCATCAATTCCTGCCTATAAGGCAAGGGAGGTTAATAAGCCAAACCCCAGAGGTGCCTGCATATTCCTGGCTGCTTTCTCTCATGGAGTCTTGCCCTCCTGCAGCCCCAAATCTCTCCTCTCTTCAGACATCTTGGCTTCCCTGACCTAGAAAGTCCTTGACTGATGATCCAACCACAATCCCACTGATTTTTGGCTAGACCTTCCTGGGAGTCCTAACAGAGATAAATCCATTCTAAAGGTGTTCAGCCTGTCTCTTCCCTCACAAATGTCAGTCCCTCAGTATCATTCTGATCCATCTTCCTAGTATTTTTGCCTTCAACTTCTTTATGAGAGGGGGTCTCACTCTGTCACCCAGGCTGGAGTGCGGTGAAATGATCTTGGCAACCTGTGCCTGCTGGGTTTAAGCAATTCTCCTGCCTCAGCCTCCTGAATTATCTGGGACTACAAGCATATACCACCATGCCCAGCTAATTTTTTTTGTATTTTTAGTAGAGACGGGGTTTCACTATGCTGACCAGGCTGGTCTCAAACTCCAGACCTCATGGTCCACCCACCTCAGCCTCCCAAAGTGCTGGGATTACAGGCGTGAGCCACCGCGCCCAGCCATCTCCAACTTCTTTCAAGATGAAAAGGAAATGTGGAGAAGCAAGGTCAGGGTAGGCAGTTAATCCCACTGACTGCCTTTAATCCACTCTTCTCCCTCAACCAGGATGATCTCCGCACTCCTATCCATACTCAGACACAGGATTTATTGTTCCCCTATTATGGGCTAAGAACTTCATATCCCTGGCCTTGCTTAATCTTTTTTCTTTTCTTTTCTTTTGAGATGGAGTTCCGCTCTTGTTGGGCAGGCTCGCTCGATCTCGATCTTGGCTCACCACAACCTCTGCCTCCCGGGTTCAAGTGATTCTCCTGCCTCAGATAACAGGCATACACCACCACATCTGGCTAATTTTGTATTTTTAGTAGAGATGGGGTTTCTCCATGTTGGTCAGGCTGGTCGGGAACTCCTCACCTCAGGTGATCCGCCCACCTCAGCCTCCCAAAGTGCTAGGATTACAGGTGTGAGCCACCACACCCAGCCACCTTGCTTAAAGAACAGTCCTGTGAAGCAGGAATTTTATCCCCAGTTGAGGAAAGAGACTCAGCGAGACTGATTTGCTCAAGGTCACAGAGCCGTTCACCAGGGGTAGCAGAGTGTTCATGTTGTCTGCTCTATGCCTTCCTGTCCAAAAGCCCCCATCAGCAGGGTGGAGAGGTGAGGAGGCTCACTCACCATGTACATGGCTGCAGCTACAGGAAGGTAGAAGGAGTAGAAAGCCGTCTTGTACTTGACAATGGATTTGTACCTGGTTAGGGGGAGAAGAGAAACTCCTCAGGAGGGCAGTCCGCATCCTGCAGCCTCCCTTGCTGTGTCTGGTTCACCCTCACCTCTTTTCAGTGAATCTGTCGAGATCCACATTGTCCTGAGGGGCTGTGATGAGGTCCAGGGTCTGCCCAATCTCAGTCTGATAGGAACTCTAAAGAAGACGAAGATGGCCCATGAGCCAGGCTTTCTCCAGATATGTGAAACCTTGATATCCTGAGCACAACATCCCATAACAGCTGACAAGTGGGCAGAATCAGAAAGGCAACAGAAGGGGAGAAGGCCCCAAAACTCAAGGTCCATATTCATACACACAGTCCTTTATCACCCCTCCTTCTAATCACACAGGGACAGAGAAGCCCTTTCTGCCCCTTCCCAACTTTTTCCTTTTTCCCTTCCAGGCCCCCTGCAATCCTGTGCCTTGAAACCAGCTAGATGAGTATGTCCCATAGAGGCCAAGGCTACCAGCGACAGCGTCTGGGCATGGGGCCCTGTGTGCAGCACACCTGCAGGAAGAGCTCGATCAGGTTCAGGTAATAGGGCTGCTCCCGGCAGTAGAGCTTCAGCAGGCGGTAGACACACGCTTCCAGAAGGACAGCGTCATTGATGGCATCCAGACCCACACCTGGCTGGGACGGCAGAGAGAAAAACAAGCAATCAATCTCTAGCTTCAGTTCACACTAAGAGCCATCACCCCAATACCTCAACCAGGCCATATGTAACCACCTCCCTGTGGCCTGTCCCCATAACCACTGCTACGTTACTGCCCCCATTACCTTCTGATACCAGCAGATCTGTCCCCGGCGGGTGAGGGATGAATCCATGATGTCATCTGTCACCAGGAAGAAAGCTTGCAGCTAGGAAGAGTGGAATAAGACTTTCAGGGCTCCTCATTACTGTTCCTTCTATCAGCAATGGAGCCACTACTTTATATCTGAATCTGTATATAGTTTTGCTTTGTTTTTTTTTTTTTAGACAGTTTCGCTCTTGTTACCCAGGCTGGAGTACAATGGCGCAATCTCGGCTCACCGCAACCTCCGCCTCCTGGGTTCAGGCAATTCTCCTGCCTCAGCCTCCTGAGTAGCTGGGATCACAGGCACGCGCCACCATGCCCAGCTAATTTTTTGTATTTTTAGTAGAGACGGGGTTTCACCATGTTGACCAGGATGGTCTCGATCTCTTGACCTCGTGATCCACTCGCCTCGGACTCCCAAAGTGCTGGGATTACAGGCGTGAGCCACCATGCCCGGCAGTTTTGCTTTGTTTTTTTTGTGGGGACAGAGTCTCCTGTTGTCCAGTGCAGTGGTGTGATCACGGCTCACTGTAGCCTCTACCTCCCAGGCTCAAGTGAACCTCCCACTTCCGTTTCCTGAGTATCTGAGACCACAGGCACACACCACATGCCTGGCTAATTTTTTTTTAATTTAATTTTTGTAGAGACAGGGTCCCACTATGTTCCGCAGGCTGGTTTTGAACTCCTGGGTTCAAGTGATCCTCCTGCCTCAGCCTCCTAAAGTAACTGGGATTATAGGTGTGAGCCACCATGCCCAGGCCAGAGCTGCTGCCTTGGATAGTCCCTATGAGCCAGGAAGGTCAGGATGGGGACGCAAAAGACTTCTTCTGTTCTACGGCGACTTGGAAAGTGAGATAGCCAGTTTGGCTCAGACCCCTTGCCTATGAAACGAAACTATAACACTCTTGTTTTAGGTAAGAGACTAGAACAGACCGGGCGCGGTGGCTGACGCCTATAATCCCAGCACTTTGGGAGGCCGAGATGGGTGGATCACAAGGTCAAGAGATCGAGACCATCTGAGACCATCCTGGTCAACATGGTGAAACCCCGTCTCTACTAAAAATACAAAACTTAGCTGGGCATGGTGGTGCGCGCCTGTAGTCCCAGCTACTCGGGAGGCTGAGGCAAGGGAATTGCTTAAACCCAGGAGGCGGAGGTTGCAGTGAGCCGAGATCGCACCATTGCACTCCAGCCTGGGTAACAAGAGTGAAACTCCGTCTCAAAAAAAAAAAAACCCAAGCCAGGCACAGTGGCTCACCGCAGTACTTTGGAAGGCTGAGGCAGGCAGATCATTTAAGCCCAGGAGTTCCAGACCAGCCTCGGCAACATAGTGACACTCCATCTCTACAAAAAAAACACTTTTAAAAAGCCAGGTGTGGTGGCAGGCACCTGTAGTCCCAGCTACTTGGGAGGCTGAGGTGGAAGGATGGCTTGAGCCCAGGAGGCTGAGGCTACGGTATGCCATGATTGCACTACTACCCTCCATCTGGGCAACAGAGTGAAAATTTTCTCTAAAAGAAAAATTTAGACCAGGCCCGGTGGCTCACACCTTTGATCCCAGCATTTTGAGAAGCCAAGATGAGCAGATTATTTGATGTCACGAGTTCAAGATTAGCCTCAGCAACGCGGCAAAACCTAGTCTCCACCAAAAAAAAAAAAAAAAACAATTAGCTGGGTAGAGGCACATACATAGTCTCAGCTACTTGGGAGGCTGAGGTGGGAGGATTGCTTTAGCTCCAGAGGCAGAGATTGCAGTGAGCCATGATCATGCCACTGCATTCCAGGCTGGGTAACAGAGCGAGACCCCCATGTCAAAAAAAAAAAAAAAGAATTTTGACAAATCCCAGGTGGAGTACAATGGTGTGATCTCGGGTCACCACAACTTCCGCCTCCTGGGTTCAAGCAATTCTCCTGCCTCAGCCTCCCGAGTACCTGGGATTATAGGCATGGGCCACCACACCCGGCTAATTTTGTATTTTTAGTAGAGACGAGGTTTCTCCACATTGGTCAGGCTGGTCTCGAACTCTCAACGTCACCCACCTCAGCTTCCCAAATGCTGCCCTCTCCCTGGATGCCATGGTCCTATTTTCTCCTTGGAAGCAAATCCCTATTCTTCAGAACCATCTCCCTGACAAGTTCCAGACTGGAATTTCCACCACCCATAGGACAGGCAGATCCACCTGCTCCACCCATACCAAGAACATGCCCAGGCTGACTGTGCTCAGCACGTCTTCCCCTGAGCCAGCTGCTCCTCTCAGGCCAGGAATTCAGCACCACTGTCACTCACCAAGTTCTGAATGCCCCTCCCTCCTCACCTATGGCACCCCTCCCAGAACCCAGTCCCCCTGTCACTAATGAAAGCTTTAGGCCAGCAAATTATACACCTTCAAGAGCAAGATGAGCTGGCACAGAAGACAAGCGGATGTGGGGTGGGAGCAAATCAGAGAAAGCACACAGGAGAGCACATGCCCTGGGTCTTGGGGAAGTTGCATCCACTCAGCTTCAGCCAACTGTTGCTATGCAGGAACAAGGACCCAGGTGTTACAGTTTTCCAAGCCATGCTAGAAATCTAGGTTTCAGTGTAAAATCTCTTTGTTAAATTTAGGAGACTTAATTTTAAAACATTTTCAAAAACTATCAGTGAGCTGCCAGTGTTCAATCTGTGCTTCAGGACAGCCTTTGGAAGACCTTTCATTTTTATGGCTGTCCTCTGCTCAGAGGAAAGAGCTGACACCACTCTGCCCAGTTCCAAGGCCCCAGTCCACCGTATCCATGCCTATCTACAACCGCCATTGTACCTAATGGCAAGAGTCTCCCACGTTAGTTAACCCGTGCAGTGATTCGCTCTAAATCTGGCCATAGCACACTAGAGGCAAACACAAACCACAGACAAGTTTCAGGTCCCTCCCGCCCATTCCCACCCAAGTCGCAGGAAACGTCTCCCTTCCCCGATGCCTCTCACCAGTTCCACACACCAGCCCACCGTCAGGGCCCGCTGGAGACTATCAGCATCCTGTTTCCTTGGCTCCGCCAGCTCCCGGAACGCTACTAGCACCGTCAGACCCCGGTGATACTTGCCTCCAATGGCGTTGTACTCCAGGACCTGGAGGGCAAGGGACAGGGCATCAAGGTCCACACAGCAGCTACTGTGACTTTTCTCCTCGCGCTCTCCCACTTCCAACCACCACCTGATTTTATCCTCCCCAACCCCAACTCCTCTTCAAGGAGCCTCTGGGATTGCTGCTGTCTTTACTCCTTCCCCAAAGTCCTGGGGCAAAGCTAGAAGAGAGCCCAGTGCCCAGGCACGTTCTTTCTGCATGGTCTACTCTAGTCAGTTTATTTATGAGATGGAGTCTCACTCTGTTGCCCAGGCTGGAATGAGGTGGCATGATCTCTGCTCACTGCAACCTCCACCTCCATGTTCATGCAATTCTTCCTCAGCCTCCTGAGCAGCTGGGACTACAGGTGCATGGCACCACACTCAGCTAATTTTTGTATTTTTAGTAGAGAAGAGGTTTCACCATATTGGCCAGGCTGGTCTCAAACTCCTGACTTCATGATCCACCTGTCTTGGTCTCCCAAAGTGCTGAGATTACAGGCGTTGAGCAACCATGCCTGGCCAAGACTTCTCTTTTTTTAGAGACAGAGTCTTGCTAGAGTGCAGTGGCGCAATCTCGGCTCACTCCAACCTTGGCCTTCAGGGTTCAAGCGATTCTCCCGGCTCAGCCTCCTGAGTAGCTGAGGGATTACAAGTAGAGTAGGGATTACAAGAACACACCATCATGCCCAGCTAATCTTTGTATTTTTGTAGAAACAGGGTTTTGCCATGTTGGGTAGGCTGGTCTTGAACTCCTAACCTCAAGTGATCGGCTCACCTCGGTCTCCCAAAGTGCTGGGATTATAGGCATGAGCCACCTCGCTGGGCCAAGATTTCTCTTTTAATCCCTATTCCAGTATAGGCAAAACCCCCCCTTTCCCTTGGTTCCCCTCAGATACATGAGATAAACAGCATTTATAAAAGAATTTTGGGCCGGGTACGGTGGCTCAAACCTGTAATCCCAGCACTGTGGGAGACCGAGATGGGTGGATCACGAGGTCAAGAGATCGAAACCATCCTGGTCAACACGGTGAAACCCCGTCTCTACTAAAAATACAAAAAATTAGCTGGGCATGGTGGTGCGTGCCTGTGATCCCAGCTACTCAGGAGGCTGAAGCAGAAGAATTGCCTGAACCCAGGAGGTGGAGGTTGCGGCGAGCTGAGATCGCGCCATTGCACTCCAGTCTGGGTAACAAGAGTGAAACTCCGTCTCAAAAAATAAATAAATAAATAAAAAGAATTTTAATAGATACTCCAGAATCAATGGGAAAAAAACAGCGAGTATCACAGGAATAGTTCATGTCCTAGAATAGGAGTTTCTTTTTTTCCTTTTTTTTTTTTTTTTTAATCGTTAAAGCTCTTTAGATTCAGATTTTTTTTTTTTCAGACAGGGTTTCACCGGGCTGGTCTCCAACTCCTGACCTCAGGTGATCCACCCAACTCAGCCTCCCAAAATGCTGGGATTACAGGCGTGAGCCACCATATCCATCCCTAGAATAGGAGTTGCTAATGATACAATGATTTCACTCAAACCCCAGGGAGACAGAACAACATCAGACTGCCTTCCTCCCAAGTCTCTGCTAAGGTAGCAGCTTCTGATTTCAGGACACAAAATCAGAGACTTGCCAGGCTCAAGGCCTCCACCCTCAAGCAAAGCAGTCTGGATGACCCACCTTCCATCACAGCCAAAAGTCAGGATGACGGACTGAATAAGTATACTTGCCCAGGCCCCAACCCCTCAAGAGTGGGCTTGAGTCCCTCAGGTAAAAGCCTTCTCTCACATCTGTCAAAAGCCCCCCACAAGCCACAGGTGAATCCCACGTGTATACAGAGCAACGAAGCCAAAGACTCACTCCCCCAAGTCATGAATCCCTCACCTCCTTGAGCCGGGCAATAGCATCTCCTGTCTCTGGGTGCCCCATCTCATCCTCAGTCAGCACCCTAACGATCTGGGAGAAGTGCTGAACGAAATCCTGCTTTTCTTGGGCATAAACATCTGATTTCTGGTCTCCATTCATTCTGAGGGAGGAGCAAAGGGCTCTGAGGAGAAGAAGAACAAGTCAGAAACCTGACCAGCTGCTCCCCTCCCCAAGGCCCCTCACCCCAACCACACTCACCGAGGCTCCTCTGTCCATGCTTGGCACCAGCAGCGGGCACTGTGCCAGGCCAGGACTGGGTACCCGACCACCAAGGAGGGCCGCCGTAGGGAACCCAGCCACCTCTCCCGGGGTGCCCAGTAGGGGGCTGGCAGCAGGAAGACCCCCACAGATCTCAACCAGCGGGACAAGGGCATCGTGGGAGTGGCATAGGGAGGGGGCGCCAAGCACTCCCTGCAGGGGCAAGCACCAAAGGCAGAGGCATGGTGGCAGCTCCCCAGATCACTCCCACCCCAGCCTTAGCCCAGAGTGCCCCTCCCTCTTGTGGAATGTGCTTAGGGACAATTGGAGGAGGGATATGCAGGAAACAAAAAGTAGGGCTGGGTGACTGAGACCCAACTAATTGCCACTTATCAACAGGCTAGAACTCAATGCCTTCAAGACGGCGTCCACAGGCTGGGTAAGGACGTGGTACACAGTAAAGTACCCCAGGAGTAGGGGCTGAAAGGACCCTTAAGTCATCCTATTTTACACAAGTCAAACTGAGGCTCTAGGAGGTAGAAAGATCGTAGAGGCAGAGCCAAATCTAGAACCCAGGTCTCCCCTGGGAGATGGAGAGGGGTGCCCAGGGTCTGCGCTACCTCCCAAGGAGAGGAGAAGCATTGGGGCCGGAACCCATGGGTGCTGCGTCCATATGGTCTGGGGTGCTGGAACCGCGCGTCCCGAGACTCACAGGAAGCGCTAGGACTGCGCAGATAGGGTCGGAGCAACTCTGGACGGGAGAGAAGGGCTCGCAGCAAAGGAGTATACCGGGGTCCGGGCATACTGGGGGTTTCAGGAAAGCACAAGAGCAGAGTTTGGAAGTCTCTGCACCCCTAGAGAAGGCCAGCCAGTCTAGCCCACCGACCTCAAAACGGAGAAACTCTGACACAGCAGGCTGAGCTTCCCGTGCCTCACAATATTGTTACAGAAGCAAAGCACGGTCTCGGATCCCTTCCTCCAAGGCCCAGCACACGTCCTGTCTCACCTGTTCCTGGTTGCGGGTTCCTGCTCGGTCCCGCTAGTTGGCGGGTACTCCTAAAAGCAGAATCAATTCCGCGCTCGGCTCTATGGGTCGAGTAGTTCTCGCTTTCCCCACACTATCGGCAGAAATGCATAATTAGACTACAACTCCCAGCGTGCCGCGGGAGGGACAGACAACGCCAATCTGGCGTGGTCTGGATGGGCGGAGACCAGCCGAACAGATTGGCTCCTGGCCCTCGTGTGAGCATGGCGCACTGTGACGGACGACCAATGGAAGGGCTGAAGCCTAGAGGGCTTGGCTGGAGGTATCACTGCTCGAAGCGAGCCAGGTGGGGAACGCCCCAGCTCTGGCTCTGACTGCCTCCTTTACTACAATTTTCGACATCTTCCTGGGCAGCTGAATGGCCTGTTAGCAAAACGCAGGAGGACTAGCTTTGTCACTTATTATTTCTCCAACTCAGGCAAATCATTTAATATCTCCTCAGTTAACTTCCTTGAAACTAGCTTTCCTCATCTGTTGAATGAGGGTGATAATACCACGAGGTCATGTGTTTAAAGTGCTTTAAGGGCTTAAAGATCAACCTTGGCCGGGCGCGGTGGCTCACGCCTGTAATCCCAACACTTTGGACGGCCGAGGCGGGCGGATCACCTGAGGTCAGGAATTCGAGACCAGCCTGGCCAACGTGGCAAAACCCCGTCTCTACTAAAAATACAAAAATTAGCCGGAGTGGGGTGGCTCATTCCTGTTGCAGGTTTCATTTTTCTCCTGCAAATCTGTATAAAAAACATTCTTGACAGCATAGGTATCCACCTCCTGAAGTTCCCATTACATCCTTTAACCAAATTAATTTATTCTCAAGCTTCAGACGATCATGCAACAAAGGCTCCAGCCAGTTCCTGGTGAAGACACCACCCCAGGCCATCAAGGAGCTACCCTTCCTCCACTAGACAGAGCAGGGTGAGAGTTCAGTTATCCCAATAGGTAGGGACTACCCTCTAAGCCAGCATGAAGCAGTTATAGAATAAAGACCACTGGTTCCTCTACCTTCCATAAATAGGGATCACATCTCTCAGTGGGGAGATGAGGCAGGAAAATAGGGTCTGGAGGCAGGGAACATAAGGCCGATTCACACTTGAGCTATGACCAGAAATATACTCTCCACAGGGCGTTGGTCAAGTAAATGACTAACTTTACTTCACCCTCTTCATTTACATAGGGTGTACCCCAGATAGAGGGTATTTAAACTCTCAAAAATTCTGTAACAGGGCCTTTGAGCCCTTTATACTCAGGCCTGCTTCCACACTGTGGAGTATACTTTCATTTTCAATAAATCCTTTCATTCCTTTTTTGCTTTGTTTGTGCATTTTGTGCAATTCTTTTTTTTTTTTTTTTTGAGATGGAGTCTCACTCTGTTGCCCAGGTTGGAATGCAATGGTGCAATCTCAGCTCACCAGAACCTCCACCTCCCAGGTTCAAGCAATTCTGCCTCAGCCTCCTTAATAGCTGGGACTACAAGTGCGTGCCACCATACCTGGCTAATTTTTGTATTTTTAGTGGAGCCAGTGTTTCACTATGTTGGCCAGGGTGTTCTTGAACTCCTGACTTCGTGATCTGCCCGCCTCGACCTCCCAAAGTGCTGGCATTACAGGCGTGAGCCACATGCCTGCCATAGATATTTTAAAATGTCAGTGTTAACACCAGGCATGGTGGCTCACGCCTGTAATCCCAGCACTTTGGAAGGACAAGTCAGGCAGATCAGAAGGTCAGAAGGTCGACACCAGCCTGGCCAACATAGTGCAACCATGTCTATACCAAAAGTACAAAAATTAGCGGGGTGTGGTGTCATGTGAACTTGAAAACTGCTTAGACTTATTTACTTAATTTATGAGTGCTCTTTTATTTATAAGCCAATTTGGTAGACACAATCTATAACAATAAGTGTACATACAAGTAAACACACATAAATGAAGACTCAATAGCCTGAAACCTTAGCTGTGAGATAGCAATACAAGCTTGATGGTTTTACTTTGCCCCATGGATGAAGGCTGTCATCCAACACTTCGGGTAAAACAGTCTCCATGGCAGTTTTATTTATTATTTATTTATTTATTCATTTAGTGAGACAGTCTCTCTCTGTCGCCCAGGCTGGAGTGCAGCAGCGCAATCTCGGCTCACTGCAACCTCCACCTCTTGGGCTCAAGTGATTCCCCTACCTCGGCTTCCTGAGTAGCTGGGACTCCAGGCACAGCACCATGTCCAGCTAATTTTTTGTATTTTTAGTAGAGACGGGGTTTTACCATGTTGGCCAGGATGATCTCGAGCTCCTAACCTCGTGATCCACTCACCTCAGCCTCCCAAGGTGCTGGTATTATAGGCGTGAGCCACAGCACCCAGCCCACAACTAGCTAATTTTCAAAAATATCTTTGACCAGGCATGGGTTTTTTTTTTTTTTTTAACAGAGTTTCACTCTCGCTGCCCAGGCTGGAGTGCAATGGTGCAACCTCCGTCTCCTGGGTTCAAGTGATTCTCGTGTCTCAGACTCCCAAGATAGCTGGGATTACAGGCATGTGCCACCATGCCTGGCTAATTTTTTTTTTTTTTTTTTTTAGTAGAACAGGATTTCTCCATATTGGTCAGGCTGGTCTCGAACTCCTGACCTCAGGTGATCCACCCACCTCGGCCTCCCAAAGTGCTGGGTGGCGTGAGCCACTGCGCCCAGCCTTTTTTTTTGAGTCTCAAAAAAAAATCTTTTTAGAGATGGAGTCTTGCTACATGGCCCAGGTTGGTCTGGAACTCCGGGCCTCAGGTGATCCTCTTGCCTCAGCCACTGGAGTCCCTGGGATTATAGGTGTGAGCCACTGTGCTCTCACTTTCTTTAAGGTGCAGAGAGTCAAGGAGGTAGAGCAGGATGGGGTGGGAGCAAGGAAGTGAAACAAAGTTAACTTAGCTGTAACAGAGGGTGGCACGAGGAGGAGGGCTGAACAGTGGAGAGTGGCCTCAGTCACATGGTGGTGGTGAGAGGCAGGTAATTGAATATGAGGGTCTGTAGCCCAGGAGAGAAGCTGGAGTTGGACCTTTTTGATTCAGGCCAAAGGCTGGGCCCCATTATCATTCATTCATCCTTCAAAAATTATGTATTTGGCTGGGCAAGGTGGCTCACACCTGTAATCCCAGCCCTTTGAGAGGCTGAGGCAGAAGGATCACTTGAACCGAGTTCGAGACCAGCCTGAGGAACCTGACAAAACCCCATCTGTACTAAAACCACAAAACATTAGCCAGGAGTGGTGGCACATGCCTGTAATCCCAGCTACCTGGTAGGCTGAGGTGGGAGGATCGCTTAAACTCAGGAGGGCAAGGCTGCAGTGAGCTGTGATCATACTACTGTACTCCAGGCTGGGCAACAGGAGTGAGACCCTGTCTCAAAAAAATAACAGTAATAACAAAAAATTAAGCCGGGTGTGGTGGCTCATGCCTGTAATCCCAGCACTTTGGGAGGCCGAGATGGGTGGACCGCTAGAGTTTAGGAGATCAAGACCAGCCTGGCCAACATGGCAAAACCCCATCTCTACTAAAAATACAAAAATTAGCCAGATGTGGTGGCACATGCCTGTAATCCCAGCTACTCAGAAGGCTGAGGCAGGAGAATTGCTTGAACTCAGGAGATGGAGGCTGCAGTGAGCTGAGAAGGCACCACTGCACTCCAGCCTTGGTGACAGAGCAAGACACGGTCTCAAAAATATAATAAAGGCCGGGCGTGGTGGCTCACGCCTATAATCCCAGCACTTTGGGAGGCCAAAGCAGGTGGATCACGAGGTCAAGAGATTGAGACCATCCTGGTCAACAAGGTGAAACCCCGTCTCTATTAAAAATATGAAAATTAGCTGGACATGGTGCTGTGCGCCTGTAGTCCCAGCTACTCGGGAGGCTGAGGCAGGAGAATTGCTTGAACCCAGAAGGCGGAGTTTGAGGTGAGCCGAGATTGTGCCATTGCACTCCAGTCTGGGTAACAAGAGCGAAACTCCATCTCAAAATAATAATAATAATATATAAATAAATAAATAAATAAAATTGTGAGCAAAATTGAGGCCTTCCTTTTATGGCCTCGATAAGCAAGGAGTCCAAGATCTATTCCTAAGTGGGGAAGAAAAACAGTACAGAGTGGTATGTATGGTACCATTGCTATCACTTGCATAAAAAGGGGTGAGATTATATATTGTTTATATTTTGGTACAACACATAGACATTTCATAAATGTTAGGTGCCAGGATGAGCTGAGCAGCGGGGTCATGGAGTTTAGAAACCAGCTCTTCATCTATACTCTGTGCCTTTTTTTTTTTTTTTTTTTTTTTTTTGAGACGGAATCTGGCTCTGTCGCCCAGGCTGAAGTGCAGTGGTGCAATCTCCGCTCGCTGCAACCTCCGCCTCCCCGGTTCAAATGATTCTTCTGCCTCAGCCTCCCGAGTGGCTGGCTCACGCCACCACGCCCAGCTAATTTTTGTATTTTTAGTAGAGACGGGGTTTCATCATATTGGCCAGGCTGGGCTCAAACTCCTGACCTCATGATCCTCCCGGCTCGGCCTCCCAAAGTGCTGGGATTACAGGCGTGAGCCACCGCACCCGGCCGTGCCTTTAAGTTTTGTATACTGTATTGTGCAAATATTTATTCAAGTTAACATAAACACAGCCTTAAGGTTTCATGGATGCAGGGCCCCACCCCCAGTATTCTGACTCCTGGGACTGGAGAGGAGTCACCGTGTGCAGAACAGCAATAATTCCGTGCTCTCTGCTGGAGCAGGACTCACAGAACTTCCGTGGACACCGTCGCATCGCGCCCCGGGAGGTTTATATCTCGGTTTGCCGAAGACGAAGCTGACGTTGAGACTGTCTCTCCACACCAGAGAAGGGGTTGGACGTCGCCTTGGGGGCGGAAGGGAGGTGCCTGTCGCCCCGCCTTTTCCCCGCTCGGGGGCTCTCGGGCGCCCCTCGCAGGCAGGCCATGGCCTGTCCCCCGGTGAGGCGCCGCGGTTTGCAGAATACAATGGCGTTAGGCGGGAGACAGAGCCTGAACTGTGTGTGCGGCTGTATGCGTGAGTGTGTGCTCGTGTGTGAACACGAGTGCGTGTCTGTGCGGGCGCATGTGGGAAGCTCAGGTGTCTCTGTGTGAGTCGGCGTGTGTGAGTGTGGACACCGCATGAGTATTAGAGCGGAGTGCGTATTTGTGTTTGTGTGTGGAATGGGGGGAGCTTTGTGTATGTGCATGCATGTGTCTGAGCACAGGGCATCGCCTCTGTGAAGCTGCCCTGACCTCCTTCTGCCCCTACTCACAAGGCTCTGCCTCTCCTGCTGTCCCTCTGTGTCCCGAGCACAGTTCTGTCATCTCCCCCAACATGCTTTATTAAATCTGACTGGCAGCTCTCCTGTCTCCATCCCCACACTTCGCAGAGACCTGGGCCCAGTGGCCTCACCTCCTCCACTCTGGCAGGGAGCAGAGCAGGGCCCATATGGGGCTCAGTCCATGCCTGTGGAATGAAGGACCACCTGCGTTTGTGTCTGTGTGTGTGTGTGTGAGTGCAGCTGCTGGAGTGTGTGTGTTTGTGGCGTGGTGGGAGGGAGGGCTTTCAGCTGGCAAAGCCGAGCGTTCTGTTTGGATGCTGGGATTCTCCGTTTTCTCGCCCTCAGGGCTCCTGCCCAGGGTCGACCCTGTGACAAAGGGCAGCCCATCCTTCACGTGGTCACTTGTGGACCCAGAGTCAGCCAGACTGCTGAGGAAACTCTGGCCTGATTTCAGGTCAATGCATCTGTCCCTTAGCTGGACAGGACAAATGCTCTTTTGGAGAACTGTCCCCCACCACCTGCTAATTCCTTGGGACTGGGATCTCTGGGATTCCTATCCCCTCAACTGATTCTGGAGGCAGTTCAATATTGCCAGACCCCAGCCCAGTACAGTGGCTCATGCCTGTAATCCCAGCACTTTGGGAGGCAGAGGTGTCCTGATCACTTGAGCCCAGGAGTTCCACACCAAGCCTGGCCAACATGGCGAAACCTCATCTCTACTAAAAATGCAAAAAATTAGTCAGGCATGGTGGCATGCGCCTGTAGTCCCAGCTACTCAAGAGGCTGAGGCATGAGAATCACTTGAACCCAGGAGGTGGAGGTTGTAGTGACCAAGATCGCACCATTTGCACTCCAGCCTGGGTGACAAGAGTAAAACTCTGTCTCCAAAACATAAATACATCAAATAAAATACATCCTCTCTCTTCTCCTGCTGGCTTCTGTGTTCCAGCACCCTGACTGATTACTCAGTAGCACTTACAAGGTTTGTAGTTACATATTTATTTCTCTGGTACTTGTTCATAGTCTGTCTCCTCACTATATGGTAAATCCCACAGAGGGCAAAGGCCCTGTCTGTTTTGCTCACCACTGTGTCCTTAGGGCCTGATACAGAGTAGGCGCTCAGTAAAGATTGGACAGTGAGGAATGGGCAAATGGTAACTAATAAATGCTATGATGATGACGATGATGATGCTGTCAGAGCCCTTCCAGAGAATCCCACCGGTTAGTATCAGCTGAACGCACAGCCAGTGTCACGCCAAGAGTGGCATCAGGACAGCTCTAACAAAGGATGCCCCAAACCATCCCATGATGGGGCTGGTTGGGATTCCAATGAATGAAGCACCACACGCCAGGGCAATCAGGCCAAGGCATACAGTAGGGGAACTTATCTACAGAGTGGCTGTGGCACATCCTTGCCGTGGATAATGGAACAAAGGGTGTTCTAACCCGGTATGTTCTCAAAGAGGGGGTTTGGTGTTTATAGGAGTGTTTAAGAAATTTGAGGCCAGTACTGTGGCTCACGCTTGTAATCCTTTGAGAGACCAAGGCAGGAATTCAAGATCAAGGAGCATAGGAGTTCAAGACCAACCTGGGCAACAAAATGACACCTGTGGTAAGAAAGGAAAAAAAGTATTTTTAATAAATACAAATTTAGGCTGGGCACAGTGGCTCAAGCCTGTAATCCCAGCACTTTGGGAAGCCAAGGTAGGCAGATCACCTGAGGTCAGGAGTTTGAGACCAGCCTGGCCAGCATGGTGAAACCCCATCTCTACTAAAAATACAGAAATTAGCCGGATGTGGTGGAACATGCCTGTAATCCCAACTACTCGGGAGGCTGAGACATGAAAATTGTGTGAACCTGGGAGGCAGAGGTTGTAGTGAGCTGAGATTGCACCACTGCACCCCAGCCTGGGTGACAGATCGAGACTCCGCCTCAAAAAAATAAAATTAAATAAATAAATGAATAAATAAAAATTTAAAAAGTAGCCAGGCATGCTGGTGGACACCTGTAATACTGTCTACCTGGGAGGCTGAAGTGGGAGGATTGTTTGAGCCCAGGATGTCAAGGTTACGTTGAGCCATGTGCACTCTAGTATGGGTGACAGAGTGAGATCCTGTTTCAAGAAAACAAGAAAGAAAGGCTGGGCGTGTGGCTCACACGTGTAATCCCAGCACTTTGAAAGACTGAGGCCAGCAGATCACTTGAGGCCAGGAGTTGGAGACCAGCCTGGCCAACATGGTGAAACTCTGTCTTTACTAAAAATACGAAAATTAGCAGGGCGTGCCTATAGTTCCAGCCACTCGGGAGGCTGAGGCAGGAGAATCGCTTGGACCTGGGAGGCAGAGGTTGCAGTGAGCCGAGACTGCACCACTGCACTCCAGCCTGGTGACAGAGCGAGATCTGTCCCCCCCGCCTAAAATAAAAAAGAAGAAAAAGAAATTTATCTGGGGGTAGGATTCTGTAAGTTTAGCAAAATAGTCGATCTTTCAGTGTTTCCAGCAACAACCTAATCAAGTTTATCAGTGCCTAGGAATGTTCAATAAACCATCTTGGGTTCAAATCTGTAGGCAGAAACATGCAGCTGGGCGGTCAAGGCACTCTGCATTTCTTGGTTGACACAGAGAAAAAAGTCGGCAAAACTGGGTGACCCTACACCCACCGGACTCTCACAGGGCTCCCTTTTGCCTTTCTTCAGGCTCCAGCCCCAACTCTTAAAGCCCCGGCTTCCTAGATTCACTAACTTCAGTAAAGTACAAAAAAAATGGGACCATATGGCTGGCCAAAAAAAAAATATCTATTCAGATGGATGACCAGATAGTATAAATTGATTGAATTTTTTTTTTTTTTTTTGAGACGGAATCTCACTCTGTTGCCCAGGCTGGAGTGTGCAATGGTGTGATCTCAGCTCACTGAAACCTCTGTCTCCCAGGTTGAAGATATTCTACTGCCTCAGCCTCCCGAGCAGCTGGGACTACAGGCACCTGCCACTACGCCCGGCTAATTTTTGTATTTTTAGTAGAGATGGGGTTTCACCATATTGGCCAGGCTGGTCTCGAACTCCTGACCTTGTGATCCACCCGCCTCAGCCTCCCAAAGTGCTGGGATTACAGGCGTGAGCCACCATGCTTGGCGAAAATTTATCAGGAAGAATGGATGAGAGGAAATGACAGAAGATGAGGGCAGAGAGTAGGCAGTTGTTGGGGAGGGACTCTGAGACACGGTGGCCTGCTGGGTGTGCCCCTTCTCTCTTCTCTGACTCCCTTAGATAAGACCAGCACTTTTGTCATCCTCTCTCTCTCTCTCGTTCCATGGTCCTGCGGCCCCAGGCCCCCACTGAAAGCATGTCGATCCAGGAGAACATATCATCCCTGCAGCTTTGGTCCTGGGTCTCTAAGTCCCAGAGAGACTTAGCAAAGTCCATTCTGATTGGGGCTCCAGGAGGTAAGAAGGGGAAGCAGAAGCCATTGAGCATAGGAGGAAAATGAGGGTGGAAAGTAGGCGTCAGGGTGGAGGGTGTACATCCCTATCTATCACTGGCTAGGTGGGTTTTGGAGAGGAACATATGGTCATCGGAGCCTCCCCGTGTTAAATTATGGACCCTGGCCTGGCTCTTTCCAGGCTGTATAGACAGGCCAGGGCCACAGCATGTAAACCACGGGGCACTCCCGTGGTTCCTGGACTCTGGCCCCTGGCATACAGGGCTTCCAGTGGAAGGCGAGTCACTGGTGACACTTTAACCAGTCTGCCGAACTGATCCCCAGCCCAGCTGGGCCTCATGCCTCTGACAACCCAACCGTGTGGAGCAGACCCACAGAGGGGAAGCCCCAGAGAGCTGTGCAGTGGCATGGAAGGTGCGGCTGGAATGGGGGGCGCTCCTCTGACCTAGGCTGGGTCAAGCTACAGGGACCTCTGGGTCTGTAGCAGTTTTGAGGGGCCTGGGGAGACTCAGAAGGTGGGGTGAGGAAGCCAGCCAGTAGCCAGGGGTTGGAAGGGAGAAAACAGAGACCTTGGGAACGGGAACTGGGTGATTCTGGGCCTGCATAAGGAGAGGCTGCTGGATACTAGACACCAAGGGGTGCTGGGGTTAAGGGACATCAGTAGCCGCAGGCTGGAGGGTCCTCGGTTGTGCAGGGTCTGTATAACTGAGTGGTCGAGAACTTGAACTAGAGTTAGTCAGACTTAGATTTGAATCCTATATGATCCATACTTAGAAGCTGGATGATCTTGGACAATTGATCTCTTTCTCAGCCTCTGTTTCTTTATCTGTGAAATTGGGATAATTACAGAACATTTAACTGTACCTGCTTTATAGGATCCTTGTGACATAATAAGATAATATATGATGACGTCCAGCTCATGAGAAGGGAACGAGGCAGGGCGAGGTGGCTCACGCCTGTAATCCCAGCACTTTGGGAGGCCAAGGCAGGCAGATCATGAGGTCAGGAGTTTGAGACCAGCCTTCCCAATATGGTGAAACCCCATCTCTATTAAAAATACAAAAATCATACATGCCTATAATCCCAGCTACTCAGGAAGCCGAGGCAGGAGAATCATTCGAACTCTGGAGGCAGAGGTTGCTGTGAGCCAAGATCACACCATTGCACTACAGCCTGGGTGACAGAGCAAGACTCCGTCTGAAAAAAAAAAGAAGGGAAGGAATAGAGGGCATGCTGGGATGAAGGCATGGGGAGGAAAGGCAGGTGCCAAGCAGCCCCTGAGCTCTCTTCTACCACAGGACCAGCGGGGTATCTGCGGCGGGCCAGTGTGGCTCAACTGACCCAGGAGCTGGGCACTGCCTTCTTCCAGCAGCAGCAGCTGCCAGCTGCTATGGCAGACACCTTCCTGGAACACCTCTGCCTGCTGGACATTGACTCCGAACCCATGGCCACACGAAGTACCAGCATCATTGCCACCATCGGTAAATGCTCCCATCCCCCTGCAGCCTCACATGCCTCTTCGCTGTTTCTCAAGGCGCTTCTTCATCTTTTGTCTCCTTTGAGACTTCTCCACGTTTGACTCAGCCATTCATTCAACAAAAATTTCTTGGGCATCTAGTAGACAAGATTTTGGGACCAGAGAGTAGATCAGTGAAAAAAACAGACAAAAATCCCTACCCTTAGGGAGCTGACAGTCTAGCTGGGTGTGATAATAAATAGTAAGCACAATAAATTATTAAAAATAAGTAAATTTTTCTGTTAGACAGTGGGCTGAGTGCAGTGGCTCATGCCTATAATCCCAGCACTTTGGGAGGCCAAGGCTGGCAGATCGCTTGAGCCCAGGAGTTTGAAACCAACCTGGGCAACATGGCAAAACCTGTCGCTACAAAAAATAAAAAAATTAGTTGGGTGTGGCCGGGCACAGTGGCTCACACCTGTAATCCTAGCACTTTGGGAGGCCGAGGTGGGTGGATCACCTGAGGTCAGAAGTTCAAGACCAGCCTGGCCATCATGGTGAAAACCCATCTTTAAAAAAAAAAAAAATTAGTTGGGTATGGTGGTGCATACCTATAGTCCCAGCTACTTAGAGGGCCAAGGGGGGAGGATCACGTAAGCCCAGTAGGTCAACTCTGCAGTGAGCTGTGATCAAGCAGCTGTGCTCCAGCCTAGCAGCAAGATCTGCCTCCAAAAAACCAAAAAAAAGAAAGGAAGGAAGGAAGCAAGGAAAGAAGGAAGGAGAAGGAGGGAGGGAGGGAAGGAAAGAAAGAAAAAGAAAGAAGAGTGAAAGTTGGTTGGGTGCAGTGGCTCACGCCTGTAATCTCAGCACTTTGGGAGGCTGAGACAGGCAGATCACGAGGTCAGGAGTTTGAGACCAACCTGGCTAACATGGTAAAACCCGTTTCTACTAAAAATACAAAAAATTACCCAGGCGTGGTGGCACGCGCCTGTAATCCCAGCTACTCGGGAGGCTGAGGTAGGAGAATCTTGAACCAGGAAGGCGGAAGTTGCAGTGGGCCAAGATCACGCCGTTGCACTCCAGCCTGGGCAAGAAGAACAAAACTTCGTCTCAAAAAAAAGGGGTGGGGGGAGTTATAAGTGCTATGGGGAAAGAAATCAAGTATGATAAGGGCACCAGGGGTACAAGGGTGAGGGCAGGTTGCAGTCCTAAATAGGGAGGTCAGGGTAGTCATTATTAAGAAAATGAGGCCTAAGAGAAGACTTGAAGGAGGTGAGAGAATTCGCCATGCAGAGATCTAGGGGAAGAGAATTCCAGGAAGAAGGAACAGCCAGTGCCAATGCCTAAGTCAAAGAGGTTAGCAGAGCTAAAAACCATCAAGAGGGAAGAGCGGCAGGCATGAAGAGACTGGGGGAGAGGAAGATCAGGCGGGCTGTGTAGGCCATTTTTAGAATTTGAGTAGTTTCCTTCCAGTAAAATGAGAAACTACTGCAGGGTTTTGAGCAGGGGAATGACAAGCTCTTACTTACGTTTTAATAGAACCTCCCCTCCCCTGCTGCTGTACTGAAAATAGATGGGGGTGGGGGAAGGGCGCCCTGCAGTATTTCTGGTTCAGAACAGTTGGCGGCAGTGAGGTGGTGAGAAGTGGTCAGATTCTGAATGTATTTTGCCAGTAGAGCCGACAGGATTTGCTGATTGATTGTGTGTGGGGTAGGGAGTGAGGGCAAGAAGAAAGGAGTCAGAGGTGACAGGTGACTGAGGTTTTTGGCAGGAGGAACTGGAACAATGCATTATCCACTAAGCAGGAAAGACTGTGGTGGAAGCGTTTTCGGGGAGAGCAGAAGTTCGCCTGGGACACGTGGAGTCTGAGATGCAGATTAGCTATCCAAGTGTGATAGAGAGGGGACAGTCAGGTGCACAGCTCTGGTTTTGGGAGAAAGGTCTCCATTGGAAAGACATTTGGGAGTTGTCTGCATATAGATGGTATCTCAAGCAATGAGACTAGAGATCACCAAAGGAGTGTAGGTAAAATGACAGAGAAGAGAACAGGGCTTCTAATATGAAGGAGAGGAACAAGGAAAGGAGACTGGGAAGGAGCAGCTAGAGAGGCAGGAGTCAACCAAGGGAGGCACGGTCCTAGAGGCCAAGTGAAGACCGGTGTCAGGGAGGGATGTGTGCCCAGGCTGCTGACAGGCCAGTAGAGGAGGAACGAACATTGAGCATTACACTGAGCAACGACACAGAGCTCCTCGGTGACCTTGACAAGAACAGATGCAGTGGAGAGATGGAGGCCAACGCCTGAGTGGGGTGGGTTCAAAGGAGAATGGGGGAAGGGAACTGGAGGCAGAAAGTACAGATAACTCTTGCAATGAGTTTTGCTGCAAGCGAGAGCAAAAACTTGGACTGAAGAGAAACCAGGTGATTAAGAATTTTTTTTTAGATGGAGTTTCACTCTGTCCCCCAGGCTGCATGTAGTGCAGTGGTGCAATCTCGGCTCACTGCAACCTCTGCTTCCTGGGTTCAAATGATTCTTCTGCCCTAGCCTCCCGAGTAGCTGGGATTACAGTTATGTGCCACCAAGCCTGGCTAATTTTTGTATTTTTAGTAGAGATGGGTTTTACCATGTTGGTCAGGCTGGTCTCAAACTCCTGACCTCATGATCTGTCCTCCTCGGCCTCCCAAAGTGCTGGGATTACAGGCGTGAGCCACCGAGCCTGGTCTGAATATTTTTTTTTTTTTTGAGCGGAGTTTAGCTATTGTTACCCAGACTGGAGTGCAATGGCGCGATCTCGGCTCACCGCAACCTCTGCCTTCTGGGTTCAAGCAATTCTCCTGCCTCAGCCTCCCGAGTAGCTGGGACTACAGGCGCGCACCACCATGCCCAGCTAATTTTTGTATTTTTAGTAGAGACGGGATTTCATCTCATTGACCAGGATGGTCTCGATCTCTTGACCTCGTGATCCACCCGCCTCGGCCTCCCAAAGTGCTGGGATTATTGACATGAGCCACCACGCCCGGCCCTGAATATTTTTTTTAAATGGTGAAAGAAATAACAGCAGGTTTACACACTGATGGGAATGATCCAGTAAAAAAGAAAAACATGGCCGGGCGCAGTGGCTCACACCTGTAATCCCAGCACTTTGGGAGGCCGATGCAGGTGGATCATCTGAGGTCAGGAGTTTGAGACCAGCCTGCCCAACATGGCGAAACCCCATTTCTATTAAAAATGTACAAAATTAGCTGGGCGTGGTAGTGGGCGCCTGTGATCCCAGCTACACGGGAGGCTGAGGCGGGAGACTTGCTTGAACCTGGGAGGCAGAGGTTGCAGTGAGCTGAGATCATGCCACTGCACTTCAGCCTGGGCGACAAGAGTGAAACTCTGTCTCATTAAAAAAAAAGGAAAACACGGGTGTCACAGAGGACCGCAGAATGGCTGAATCTATGTCCTTGAGATAGATCTCAGCTCTCCTCAGTCCAGGAGGCCTCCTAGCTCTAAAACTCTGCACCCAAACACCCTCACCTGGCTCCCACCCCCTGCTATACACCCCAGACCCTGGGGTGACCGGGTAGACAGCACTTACATACATCACTTGCTGACACCGTGACCTCAGGCCTGGCCAAGGGCACTCCCTTCCAACTCCCACAGAGCTGCCTCCCCAAGGGGACGGATGTCGGCTGGAGAGGGAAACGGAGTTTGTGACCTGTGATCAGGGGTTGCATCAGGCAGGTAACAGGACTCCTGTGGCGTGGGGCGTTCTGAGGGTAGTGATGGGTTGGGTTTGGTTGCCTCTCCTGTTTTGGGGGAATGTTGTCTGAGTGGAATCTCTGGTCCTAGGGCCGGCATCTCGCTCCGTGGAGCGCCTCAAGGAGATGATCAAGGCCGGGATGAACATTGCGCGCCTCAACTTCTCCCACGGCTCCCACGAGGTGCGGGACGGGCCGCCGGGCGGTGGGTGGGGCGGGAGGATGCCTCGAGTTCCTGGCCACCTTTCCCTGAAACCCTCGCTCCGATCCCTCCCCCAGTACCACGCCGAGTCCATCGCCAACATCCGGGAGGCCGTGGAGAGCTTTGCAGCTTCCCCGCTCACCTACCGGCCCGTGGCCATCGCCCTGGATACCAAGGGACCAGAGATTCGCACTGGGATCCCGCAGGGGGTGAGCGGTGGGGATGAGACTTGCCCTGCGGGAAAGGCGGCGCCCGTTGGGCTGGGCCCCAAGCCTGGGCGTGGGCAGGGGCGGGTCCCGGACTACCGGGCCACCGAACTCACGTCTCCTCTGGCCCGCCCCTAGGATCCGGAGTCGGAGGTGGAGCTGGTGAAGGGCTCCCAGGTGCTGGTGACGGTGGACCCCGCGTTCCGGACCCGGGGGAACGCGAACACGGTGTGGGTGGACTACCCCAATATTGTCCGGGTCGTGCCCGTGGGGGGCCGCATCTATCTTGACGACGGGCTCATCTCCCTAGTGGTCCAGAAAATCGGTGCGGACGCGCTTCCCGCCCTGACCACATCCGTGCGCAGGGTCCATTCCCTTCTCTTTGGCTCCCCCATCGGCCGTCAGACCGACCACACCTTCCCCTGGTCTTCCACGCGCCTTTGCCAGCCCGTCCCAGGGGTCCCCAGTGTGCAGATTCCGGCGCTCACCCTGGGTTGGGGCTGGACTACGCGGGGCGTCGTTTCTTCCACCGACGCCCATTTGTGCCTGTTCTGGGCGGGGCCCAGAACAAGGGCGGACAGACGAGGAGGACACGGTTCCTGACCTCTTGGGGGTCCAAGTCAGCCTTCCCTCTGCTCTGACTGTGCCCCGGCTTCACCCCTGACCGCAGCTGGCTCTCTCCGTGTCCGCAGGCCCAGAGGGGCTGGTGACCCAAGTGGAGAACGGCGGCGTCCTGGGCAGCCGGAAGGGCGTGAACTTGCCCGGGGCCCAGGTGGACTTGCCCGGGCTGTCGGAGCAGGACTTCCGAGACCTGCGCTTCGGGGTGGAGCATGGCGTGGACATTGTCTTTGCCTCCTTTGTGCGGAAAGCCAGCGACGTGGCTGCCGTCAGAGCTGCTCTGGGGCCGGAAGGACAGGGCATCAAGATCGTCAGCAAAATTGAGAACCACGAAGGCGTGAAGCGGTGAGGTTCTCTTCCCCTTCCTCCCCGTAGCTATTCCCCGTCACCTTTCTTGCGCCTGCCTCTCCCTGGCATCTCCTAGCTTTCTGCTCTGACCGATTCCCCCAACCGCCCAGGTTTGATGAAATCCTGGAGGTGAGCGACGGCATCATGGTGGCACGGGGGGACCTGGGCATCGAGATCCCAGCAGAGAAGGTTTTCCTCGCTCAGAAGATGATGATTGGGCGCTGCAACCTGGCGGGCAAGCCTGTTGTCTGTGCCACGCAGGTCTGGAGTGAGCCCTTGAGGTTGGACACTGTGGGTTTTAGGGACACCTGTGGGTGAGGGTAAATGCCCACACTGTAGGTTCATTATTTATTTATTTTGAGATGGAGTCTCATTCTGTCACCAGTCTGGAGTGCAGTGGTGCGATCTTGGCTCACTGAAACGTCCGCCTCCCAGGTTCAAGCGATTCTGCCTCAGCCTCCTGAGTAGCTGGAATTATAGGCCACTGCCACCAGGCCCAGCTACTTTATGTATTTTTAGTAGAGACAGGGTTTCACCATGTTAGCCAGGATGATCTCAAACTCCTGACCTCAGGTGATCCACTTGCCTTAGCCTCTCAAACTGCTGGGGTTACAGGTGTGAGCCACCACTCCAGGTCCACACTCCAGGTTTATAGTACATTTTGCTGACAAGTGTTTGATCTTCAAACTACAAGGTTAGAGACACTTTGACCCCTATTTTCAGGGGTTGTGACTGTGACCCTGGTTTTTGGGACACTCTGAGAGTGTGGGTGTCAGAGAAGTAGCTTGGGCAGGGTCCCCAGTCATGGTGCGACTCCTACAACTTTGATGTCCATTGTGTCCCCAAGATGCTGGAGAGCATGATCGACAAGCCCCGACCAACGAGGGCAGAAACAAGCGATGTGGCCAACGCTGTACTGGATGGGGCTGACTGTATTATGCTGTCAGGGGAGACCGCCAAGGGCAACTTCCCTGTGGAAGCCGTGAAAATGCAGCATGCGGTAGGAGCTCGGCGTGAAAAGCAAATGGGCCAGGGAACCAAATCCCTTCTGCACCCCAATGCAGCCTGACATTCTGGCACCTGCAGATTGCCCGGGAGGCAGAGGCTGCAGTGTACCACCGGCAGCTGTTTGAGGAGCTACGTCGGGCAGCGCCACTGAGCCGTGATCCCACTGAGGTCACAGCCATTGGCGCCGTGGAGGCTGCCTTCAAGTGCTGCGCTGCTGCCATCATCGTGTTGACCACAACTGGCCGGTGAGGGGGACACTGGGAATGCCCAGATGGAGTAGGGGTCAGGGGTAGGCTGGGATGGGCCCCAGGCCTGGGTTTAGTCTGGTCACCAGGGGTGGAGGGTCCATGTGAGTCCAGAGGAGGGGCAGCAATGACAGCTGGAGGCCAGGAGAGACAGAATGCCAGTGAGTTTTCAGGGGCTGTAAGGGGACAGTGGCATCACTGGACACACTGGTTTCGAGACCATTTGGGCTCCTGGGGCTCAGAGGCAAGTCCATTCGGCCCACAGATCCTTACAATGCTGAGGTATTGCAGAAGGGCCCGGTAGGTCTGAGTTCAAGTCTTTTGTCTGAAAGGTAGGCTGCTCTCTTTCCTCATGAACAGGATGAGGTGATTTGTTCATGAGAATGCAATGATTAACAGGAGATATGAAGTAATTAAGTACTACATGTAAATTAAGCACATAATACACATTTTCAAAAGGGTTTATATTTCTTCTTTTTTGTTTTTTTGAGATGGAGTCTCACTCCGTTGCCCAGGCTGGATGCAATGGTGCATCTCGGCTCACCACAACCTCCACCTCCTGGGTTCAAGCGCTTCTCCTGCCTCAGCCTCCTGAGTAGCTGGGACTATAGACGAGCACCACCACGCCCAGATAATTTTTGTATTTTTAGTAGAGACAGGGCTTCACCATGCTGGCCAGGCTCGTCTGGCCTCAGGTAATCCACCCACTTTGACCTCCAAAGTGCTGGGATTACAGGTGTGAGCCACCGTGCCCGGCGGGCTTTAGTATTTTTTAAAGAGATGTCTCCTTATTATCTCATATCGTTATGTGTGGTAGGGAGGGCAGGGATTTTTTTTTTTTTAGATGAAATCTCACTCTGTTGCCCAGGGTGGAGTGCAGTGGCTCACTGCAACCTCTGCCTCCCAGGTTCAAGCAATTCTCTGCCTCGGCTTCCCAAGTAGCTGGGATTACACGCACAAGCCATCACACCCAGCTATTTTTTGTACCTTTAGTGGAGACGGGGTTTCACCATCTTGGCCAGGCTGGTATTGAACTCCTGACCTCGTGATTGACCTGCCTCGGCCTCCCAAAGTGCTCGGATTACAGGCGTGAGCCACTACACCTGCTCTGGGAGGCAAACATTCTCATACTCATTTTTTTTTTTTTTTTTTTGAGACAGAGTTTCGCTCTTGTTATCCAGGCTGGAGTGCAATGGCGCAATCTCGGCTCACCGCAACCTCCGCCCCCTGGGTTCAGGCAATTCTCCTGCCTCAGCCTCCCGAGTAGCTGGGATTACAGGCACGGGCCACCATGCCCAGCTAATTTTTTGCATTTTTAGTAGAGACAGGGTTACACCATGTTGACCAGGATGGTCTCGATCTCTTGACCTCGTGATCCACCTGCCTCGGCCTCCCAAAGTGCTGGGATTACAGGCATGAGCCACTGCACCCAGCCCTCATACTCATTTTGTAGGTGAGAACACCAAGGCCCAGGGAAGTATGATGACTTACCCAGGGTCACACGGCGTGTTAGTGACAACTGGCACCAGAACCCAGACTCTCGTTTCTTGGTTCACCACTCTTCCCCTGATCTGGACTGACCTTCTCTGCCTGCTCTAGCTCAGCCCAGCTTCTGTCTCAATACCGACCTCGGGCAGCAGTCATTGCTGTCACCCGCTCTGCCCAGGCTGCCCGCCAGGTCCACTTATGCCGAGGAGTCTTCCCCTTGCTTTACCGTGAACCCCCAGAAGCCATCTGGGCAGATGACGTAGATCGCCGGGTGCAATTTGGCATTGAAAGTGGTGAGCTACCTAGACCTTCCACCCACTCCTACCATTTGTATCAGGAGTCCTCCAACCCAGCTTCCCACACCCACTCAAAGGGCCTTGCCTCTCTCCTGTGGTCCCAGGTTTTCCCTGTGAGATTCACTAAGACTAAGAGGTATCAGCCTGGACTATCACACACACCTCTTCCATCAGCATAGCCACACAGGCAGATGGCCATGCCGCTTAGCAACACACTCTGTCCTAGTCCGTGGACACTCCTGCACCTTTCTTTTCTTTTTTTTTTTTTTTTGAGATGGAGTCTCGTTCTGTCACCGAGGCTGGAGTGCAATGGTGCGATCTCGGCTCACTGCAACCTCCGCCTCCTGGGTTTAAGCGGTTCTCCTGCCTCAGCCTCCTGAGAAGCTGGGATTACAGGCGTCTGCCACCATGCCTAATTTTTGTATTTTTAATAGACATGGGGTTTCACCATGTTGGTCAGGCTGGTCTCGAACTCTTGACTCAAGTGATCCACCCAACTCTGGCCTCCCAAAGTGCTGGGATTACAGGCATGAGTCACTGCACCTGGCCCTGCATCTTTTTTTTTTTGTTTGAGACCAAGTCTCACTGTGTTGCCAGGCTGGAGTGCAGTGGTATGATCTCAACTCACTGCAACCTCTACCTTCTGGGTCCAGGTGATTCTCCTGCCTCAGCCTCCTGGATAGCGGGGACTACAGGCATGCACCACCATGCCCAGCTAATTTTTGTATTTTTAGTAGAGACAAGGTTTTGCCATGTTGATCAGGCTGGTCTTGAACTCCTCACCTCACATGATCTGTCTGTCTCGCCCTCCCAAACTGTCAGATTACAGGTGTGAGCTGCTGTGCCTGTCCAATGACTCATTTTCTTTCCCTCCCCCAGGAAAACTCCGTGGCTTCCTCCGTGTTGGGGACCTGGTGATTGTGGTGACAGGCTGGCGACCTGGCTCCGGCTACACCAACATCATGCGGGTGCTGAGCATATCCTGAGATGCCCCTCCCTCCTCTGCCCCAGCCTACCGCTGTACCCCATCCCTTCCTCCCCAGTCTACGTCCTCCAGCCCACACCCCTCCAAAGTCCCACCTCTAAGTCCTCTCTTCTCTATTCCTGGCTCTCCCTACCTTGGGCCTATCTGAGACCATATCTGCCATCTATTCCCATTCCAAGCTGCCCCTTCCCCGTCTCCATTTCACACAGGTCCTGAAAGTCTGTGTCCAATTATGCACTGGCCACCCGATAGCACCAACTGTACATTCCCTGCATCCGATCCACTCAGCAGGCCGCAAGATACCTTGAGCCTTTAATCCCAGTTTGGCTGGTTAATTCCATAACCCCAGCCTACCCATCCCTCACAGTTGGGGAGACAGAGGACAGGACAATCTTGTCCAGTCTCCCATTCTCGTATGTGGCCCTCATGATAATCTGGGCATATCTTATGCCAGGGCAGTCTACCCCTTTCATGGTGACTGACAGTGACATGAAAGCCTACACTTTGGGGAAAATTGGGTGGGATAGATGCTGGGGAGAAGTGAGGGCTGGGCAGCTGATTTTGTCACTGTCTTCACAGCCTCTGTGCTGGGCTTGTAGACCACTGTCTTGGCTGCTCTCATGCCCGCCTGATACCCTGCTTGGCCAAATGCCCAGCTGCTTCCTCCTGCACCCAAAAATTAGCTTCCCACTCACTTTGTTCCCACGCACAAACCAAGAGCCAAAAAATGAGTGTCTCTATTTTATATTTAAATCCAGCTGTTTGGAAGCAATTATAAAACTTCTCCCACACACCAAGAACCCCAGAACTCCCCACCCAGAAGGAAAGGAGACTTAGGGTCTTGGCCCCACAGTCTTTAATGCTGTAGAGTAGGAGAGGGGACAGAGTGAGTGTGGTAAAGGACTACTCTTGTCCCTGAGAAGGCAGAGGTGCTGGCTGGCCTGCCCTTTCCCAGGCTGGAATTCCTTGGGCCTTCCCTTTACTCCTGTACCAGCAGCAAACTCAGAAGGAAAAAACAAAACAAAACTCTAAAGATAAACATAGTCCTTCTCCCTCTCTCACATGGTTCCTCCTGCCCCTACCTGATAGGGAGAAGGTTCAGGTATTGCTGCTGATGGGTTTGGGCAGGGACCACAGAGGCTGGCACGGAGAGGCCCTGCCTCCTGCTACTCCTGTCTCCTTACCTGAAAAGGAGGGGAGGGAGGGATGGATAAACAAAATGAATTGGTAACAAATAAAATTAGCAAGTGAATAAATAGAAATAAATAAATAAGCAAAGAAAAAAATATCACATAAGGATTCAGCCATTTGCCCCTCCACCGGGGAGGGGGGAGGATCTAGGCTGGCATATTAATGAGGTACCAACTACCCCTTAAGTTTTAGGGGGCACCACTGGAGCAGAGGGCACAGGGAAGGGGCAGCTCTCAGTTCACAAAAAGACAGTTCTACCACAGGACAGACTGCAGGGAGCTTAGAAGTGTGTTCCCATCAGAGGGTAGAGACACAGAGTGCCACAGGTGGCAGCGGGTAAATGTGGATGCCCACACTTAGGACCCAAGACATCTGCTGGCAACAATGGGGGCGCAGGTGATTGGCAGTGCCTGGCTATGCTACAGGAACAGGAAGATAACCAGGCCAGGCAGAACCTGCAGGATCATTGGCAGGGAAACAGAGACATTAAGTTACCTGGCAGTGATGGTGGTGGCAAATACTTGTGCTTAGTAAAGGTAGGGTCATGGGCCTGGGCCTGCACCTGGCAGGACCATAGCCAGGGAGTACCCTTGTCAGAGGTTCTGAGTCACTTCTACTTGGCAGTGGAGACATACAGCGCCTGACATATTACTTGGGACATGGTAGATGCTCAGTACACACGATGAATGGATTATGATGGCAGACAAGCTACCGGATTCTTGAGCTGAGGACACAGAGACCATCTTCATGGCAGTATGGGGAATGTCAGCACAGGGCTGACGTTTCCATAGGGCAATGTTTCAGGTCCCCATGGCCTTCCCGGGGAGGTATCTGCCTTTGGGTACATACTACTCACTAACCCCAAGAACTAAGGCTGGATATACTCAAGGGTTTTACATGTTGGCAGAAAGCTGGGGACCCCCAGGGGTGGCTGGCTCAGGCACTGGTGGCCTGGGGGGCTGGGCTGTCCTTGGAGGCTTGGCCAGGAGCCCTGAGGGAGGCAGCCGCTCACTTCCTGAGCCCTTACGCCCAGGAGAGCCATCGCCTGTTGCCCGCTGAGGCAGAGAGGGTTGGGAGGCTGAGAGTGGGCGGCCCCGAGGTCCTAGCCGCCGTCCACCTCCTCCTGGAGGGGGACCCAGCAGGGAGACCTGGGAGCGCCCTGCCCGGGATAGGCTGGCATGCAAGGTTCGGGCAGGTGGGGCAGGCAGGCGGGAGGTGGACGCCCATGGGCCGGCTCGGACTGGCACCAGCGGGGAGGCTGGAGAGCCTGCTGAGCGCCGAGCAGAGCGAGCAAGGAGGATGGCCGGAGAGTCAGGGGAGAGAGGCAGAGGGCCCCGCTGGTGAGTCAGGGCAATGGCCACATTGGAGGTCACAGCGGCTGCCTGAAGGGGCACATGCACCAGTGGCTCCCACAGTACTGGCTTTCCACTGAGCCGAGCTCCTGTGCTGGGAGCCAGGCCCCTAACACCCCGAGCCATGTCTCTGTCATGTTGCACCAAGTGCTGCTCCATGATGCCACCGCTGCTGCCTGGACTTGGCTCGGAGCGCTTCCGCTGCAGTATGGAATTCTTCTTGCCTAAAATTTGTCCCAGGAGGGGGAAGTTAAGGATAGGAAAGGAATCCAAGTTGGAAGCTGGATATCAGAGTGTGAGGGTCTCAGGATGGGGTGGGGTTGAGGGCAGGGGATGGGAGTCAGTAGTATGGCAATGGGGCTAGCAGGGTGGAGATGGGGCTGGGAAGTGGGTATGTATCAGAGACAGTGAGGGTCAGGGGACTAGTACTCAGGGGGGGGACTCAGGACATGGGGAAGTGGGATGATATCTCTCCTGGGTAGGACATGCTGAGGGATAAGGACAGTGGGCCACAGTGTTGAAAGGCCTGTTGGGAGCATCTGTTGGGACTGAATGGATTGGGGTATGACCCTGGAACCCTAAAGCCTGAGCTCCTTGCTTTGGAGGTGGGATAAGGGCACAGCCTGGCCCTACAGCAGATGGGGTGGACAGGTCTCACCGATGCGGCGCAGCCGATCCATGGCCACAGTCTCAAAGGCCCGGCGCATCATGGGGAACTCCTCAAGCACAGCGTTGAAATGGTCCACACTGAGTGAGTAGAGGCGGCAGTAGGTGTCGGCCCGAACACTGGCTGTGCGCCGGCCCCTAGTTAGCAGGCAGATCTCTGCAGAAGTTGGGAGGAAGCCTCAGAACCCCTGTCCCTGCCCCCGAACGCCTCTCACTGAGCCTGCAGCAGTGGACCCAACTTTCTAAGGCTCTTCCCAATTACCTATTACCTCCCTGTTCCAGGGTCCCTAAACACCCCAAGCATTGTTTCTCTCCAGATGCCCACAATTACTGGATTGCTGCTCCCTGTCCTTCCCACTCTCTCCAAATGAAGGCTGACGATCAGGCAGGTCTTGCTGGCCCTAGACTCCCAGTGACTCCCCTCCACTTTAACTCCCACCCCTCCCCAACTGCTCTATCCCAAGAAGTAAACGAGAGGTAGACCAGGGCAAGTCACTCCATGCACCCACCCCTCCCACCCCCCATGAATGAACACTGAGGGCAGCCCTGAAGGAGAGAAGCAGTGTGGAAGAGCAAAGTGCAACGTGATGGGGGGTGGTGGGTGGTTTGGGGACTGAGACTATAGGAGCCTCAGGTCACTTGAGCAGTAGCTGGCTGAACTGCCCTTACTGCCCCAGGCTGGGTTCCTGAATCACACCACCAGGCAGCTCCGTAAAGCTCATGCTCCAGGACAGCGCTGCTTCACCCCGCCTTTCCCTCATCTCATAGGATCCTTGGATTTCACCGTCTAAGGGTTCTAAAAGGCCCTCTGGCCCAGTAGTTTGCAACCTGGCTGTGCATTAGAATCCCCTGAGAAGCTTTTAAAAGCTACAGAGCTCCAGACCCCAGCCCAGAGATTCTCACTGAGGGGCTGGAGCTCTGTGATTCTGCAGCAGAGCCAGGCAGGGACCCTGAGCCTGGGGAGCAGTTGCCCTGTCTGTCATCTGCTTGTGACCCCCCCTCCCTGAGGCCTGCTGACCCCCAAAGTAGGATCCATCGGTGAGGCGTGTGTCCTGGGCGCCGCGGGCCAGCACACTGAGCAGCCCATGCTGGATGAAGTACATCTTCCTGCCCACGGAGCCCTCACGCACCACCAGGTCCCCCGGCTGGAAGACCTCAAAGCGCAGCTTGGTGAGGACTGCAGTGACGAAGCTGGGGTCGGCGTGAGCAAACAGTGGCATGTGGGCCACCAGGCCCCGACAGGTGAAATTAATGATCTCCTGGACAGGAGAGGGGACTGTCAGGCAGGCTGTGCCCCCTGCCCTGCGATGCTCCCACAGAGCTCATCTTCCTCCAGAAACCCCACCCCTGGGGTTCATGTTCTGCCAAAAGTTGGGGATGCATCAGTGGGCCTAGGACCATCCCTAAGCTTCTGTCTTCAGATCTTTCCCATGAGCTCTTGTGGGACTATCTCCCCCAAAAAGAGATCCCTACGGTCCCTCCTTATGTACACTTCACTACCAAAGGACCTTCCAGAAAGACCCTAGCCCCTGAAAGGCCCCCAAATACCTGGCCTCCCATGGGGTCCTCTGCAGGCCTCATTCCCCATAGGAGCACCTGCTGACCGACAGCCCCTACTACCAGATAGCACTCCAGGTCCCTGAAGAGCCCCCCTCCAGGGCCAACCCAGCCCCACCTCCCGAAGTGGCTCGCTCAGCTCGCCCAGGATGCTTTCCTCCTCGAACATCTTGCCCTGGTAGCGGTGCTCATAGTACTCATGGATGCGCTGCCGTGTGTCTGCTGGCAGCTTGTGGAAGGACATGTACTGCTCCACCTGCTTGTACTGGAGGGCCGGCCCATTGCCAGGGGTAAGAGGACACAGGGAGAGATTTGGAGCCGGAACAGTAGGGGGTGTGTGTGTGTAGAAGGTCAGAGACACAGCTCAAACTCAGAGGGTAGAAACATGGAACCAGACATGGATACACAGGGCCAGAGAGGAATATAGATAATGGTGGATACCGGGAAGACAGAGAGCACAGTCATAGGAAAATCCAGACATGAACGGCAGAGGGGCCAAGCACCGGCATAGGTTCAAACAAAGAAAAGGTACACGCAGGGGCAGGGACCAAATGGACACAGGGCAGGAAAGGAAACAGAGGCGTAACAGGGGTACACATCAGAATGGGACTCAAGTCTGGTACCCAGTCTCCAACAACCCTCCATGCCACCCCTCCCTCCCTGTCCCTGCTGACCTTCTCCTGGTACTGACGCCGGGAAGAGTCCAGGGACTGGATGAGTGCAGTGGCGTGGCCGATGAACATGGCGTAGCACGTGGCACCCACAATCATGCTGAGCATGGTGAGCCAGACGTCCGGCATGCCTACAGGTGCCTGCTGCCCATAGCCTATGCACAGCATATGGCTCATGGCCTTGAACAGGGCATGGGAATACTGGCGGCCCCACGAGTGGTTCTGGGGGGCAGAGTGTATTGCAGAGCGGGGCATGGGCCCCTCAGAGCCTCATTCGCCACCTGCCCCTTTTCCTCTTTTGGTCTTTCTGTCTGCCCCGTTCTACTGCAGACCTTCCTCCTGGCAGGCACTTAAGTTTGGTTCTAGGGGCCCTGAGGCAAAAGGGTCCTCTATTACAGCTTGGGGGCCTCAGCTTCTGGCTAGGTGCCCTTCTTTGCCTGCTTCCTCCAACACACGAACACTTCTTCTGCGTGTCCTTCCCCTTTCCTCCCTCCTCCCCACCTCCTCACTCTTATTTTCTGTCGTGATCATCTCCCACCTCCTGCTCCCTGTGGCCATCCCTGTTACTCAGGCAGAAGAGCCCTTAGAAGGCCCAGGAGAGGCAGAGCTGTGGGGACTTCTCACCACCATGTGGTTGATGGAGACCCAGCAGTCGGGAGGGAAGTCCTGCAGCATGGGGACCAGGAACTGCAGACAGCCATCCCAGTGACATAGCAGCAGCATCATCCCAATGAGGTTGAAGATGCGAACCACAGCACTGGCCAGGTCATAGGTCATGTGAAAGATCTGAGGAGTCCGAGGAGGAGCTGCTGTGGACATGAACCCCTCCCTGCTTGTCCTCCTCCATTCCCAGCCTGGTAAATTCTCTCCCTGAACTTCTCCCTAGCCCCAACCCCCACGAAATAAAAAATACAACTATTATTCATTTCTGTGGAGTTTTGTGGCACACCTGTATAGTTAATACAAAGCAATTTCTTATTTCTCTCATCTTATAGATAGGAAAGCTGAGGTCAGTCATGTGCCCAGAGCCACATAGTAAGTGTCACAGCAGAGAATCAAACAAATCTACTGCACAAGCTGCCAGGTGTAGCCTAGAAAAGAGAGAGGGCATTTCACAGTACAGTGTTCCCAGGGCATATGTGTAAGAATTAATGCCAGCAGCCCTCTCTCCTCCAGTAGTAATAATATACAATGGTGACTTAGCTGAGAACTCAGACACCTCAGTGATTTGCACGTATTAACTCCTTTAATCCTATCGGTCTTATCACAGGTAAGTGTGTTGGAACAGAAAACGGAGTCTCCTATAGCAAAGCATAAAACTGGGATCCGACCCAAGACAATGAGACTGCAGAGCCCACAGTCTGAACCACTCAACTCTGCTGCTCTGAGGCAGAAGCCCCAGCTTCTTCCACACCCCATCCTCCACCCAGCATCCAGCTAACTCTAAAGTGTGTGTCCGCAGCTGTGCTCCACCCTCCTGTGCCACCATCTTTACCCCAGGCCCCATCCCCTGAACCCTCATTCTGTTCCTGCTTCTTCCCCACCAACTTGGGAGAGAGCTCACCCATGGAAGCCCCACCCATTTTCCCCACCCTATAAGGTCACCAGGAGCCCCACCCATAGCATCTTCCTAGAGGAGTCTGCCAGCCCCCCTGCCCACCTCCCCGCCCCACCTCCTCCCACTGGTGTATGTAGCGGATGAGGCGGGAGAGGCGGAGCAGCCGCAGCAGGCTGAGGATCTTGGTGAAGCGAACGATGCGTAGGGCCCGTGCCGTTTTGTAGACCTCAGCATCCAACCGTGGCTCCAGCTCCACCACCAGGAAGATGTAATCCACAGGGATAGAAGAGATGAGGTCAACCAGGAACCAGGTTCGCAGGTAGCGTGTGCGGATGGCTTCCGGTGCTAGCAGGATCTCAGCACCCTCCTCCACCACAATGCCCGTTCGGAAGTTCAGCACCAGATCCAGTAGGAAGAAAGTGTCAGACAATACGTTGAAGACAATCCAAGGTGGGGAGTTCTCCTCCTTGAAGAAGGTGATGCCCACAGGCAGGACGATGAGATTCCCCACCATCAGCAGCAGCATGATCAGGTCCCAGTAAAACCTGAGGTGGGAATGGGATAAGGTGTAAGACCATGAGGATATTTCACCAGCCACCAGACTGGCAGAAGATAGCGTGACATGGCCAAGAATGGGCAAAGATGCAAAATAACAGAAAACCGTTTACAGCTGCTGGGAGTACAAGTGGGGACCACCATTTGGGCAGATAGTTCAGCATTATCTAGTGAAGTTAAACATTTGCATTCCCTGCAACTCAGCAATTCCATTCCTAGGTATAGACACATCCAAGGGAAACATGCACTCCAAGAGATACACGTAGGAATGTTTTTTGCAGTATTAAATTTGAGAACAACACACATGTACTTCTGTAGAAAAAAAATGTAGATAGATAAGTAGATAAATACACTATTTATGGCCTGGAATACAATACAGTTGTGAAATTACCCAACTATAGCTACATTCAGGCCTATGGATGAATTTCACAAATGCAATGTTGTGCAAAAGAAGCAAAAAACAGCCTGGGCAACATAGTGAGACCTCATCTCAACAACAACAACAAAAATTAGCCAGGTGTGGTGGTGAGCATCTATAGTTCCAGCTATCGGGAGGCTGAAGTGCACTCCAGCCTGGCTGACAGAGCAAGACCCTGTCTCAAAAAATTAAAATAAAAAAAAAAAACTATGGCTCATCCCTGTAATCCCAGGGCTTTGGGAGGCCAAAGTGGGATCACTTGAGTCCAGGAGTTCAAGACCAGCCTGGGCGACATAGTGAGATCTCATCTCTACAAAAAAGTAAAAATTAGGCCAGGCGAGGTGGCTCACGCCTGTAATCCCAGCACTTTGGGAGGCCGAGGCAGATGGATCACCTGAGGCCAGGAGTTCGAGACCAGCCTGGCCAACATGGTAAAACCCCGCCTCTACTGAAAGTACAAAAATTAGCCAGGCGTGGTGGTGGGTGCCTATAATCTCAGTTACTCAGGAGGCTGAGGCAGGAGAATTGCTTGAACCCGGGAGGCAGAGGTTGCAGTGAGCCAAGATCGTGCCACTGCACTCCAGCCTGGCCGACAAGAGTGAGATTCTGTCTCTAACAAAAAAAATTAGCCAGGCATAGTGGTGTGTGCCTGTAAGCCCATATCCTCAGGAGGCTGAGGTGGGAGGATTGTTTGAGTCTAGGAGTTCAGGGCTCAGTGAGCTTTGATTGCATCACTGCACTCTAGCCTGTGACACAGTGAGAGCGTGTCTCAAAAATAATAATAAAAGATGCCACCACTGCACTCCAGCCTGGGTGATGGAGTGATACAAAATAATAACAAAAAAAGGAAAGAAGGAAAGAAAGAAGGAAGGAAAGGAGAGAGAAAGGAAGGAAGGGAGGGAGGGAGGGAGGAAATGTATACCACAAAAGTTAGAATAATGGATTTGAGAAAAGAATGTGAGAGCACTAGGGGGGCTTCTACAGATCTGGTAATGTAGTATCTCTTGACCTAGATAGTTGTTACATGACAGTTTGCTTTAAAATTATTCTTCCAGGCTGGGCACGGTGGCTCATGCTTGTACCCCAAGGACTTTGGAATGTTGAGGCTGACAGATCACCTGAGGTCAGGAGTTTGAAACCAGCCTGGCCAACATGGTGAAACCCTGTCTCTACTAAAAATACAAAAATTATCTGGGTGTGGTGGCATGCATCTGTCATCCCAGCTACTTGGGAGGCCAAGGCAGGAGAATTGCTTGAACCTAGGAGGTGGAGGTTGCATTGAGCCAAGATCGCTCCACTGCCCTCCAGCCTGGGTGACAGAGTGAGACTCTGTCTCAAATAAATAAATAAAAATTGGCGGGGCATGGTGGCTCACACCTATAACCCCAGCAGTTTGGGAGGCCAAAGTGGGTGGATCACGAGGTCAGGAGTTCGAGGCCAGCCTGGCCAAAATGGTGAAACCCCGTCTCTGTTGCAAATACAAAAATTAGCTGGGCATGGTGGCATGCTCCTGTAATCCCAGCTACTCAGGAGACTGAGGCAAAAGAACTGCTTGAACCTAGGAGGTAGAGGTTGCAGTGAGTCAAGATTGTGTCACTGCACTCCAGCCTGGGTGACACAGTGAGACTCCTTTTCAAAATAAATAAATAAATAAATAAAATTACTTTTCCATATACATATATATCCCTACTATATATCATTTACCTCACCAGTGCTAAATATTTTAAAGGTTAAAAAAAAAAAAGATAGGCCTGGTGCAGTGGCTCATGCCTGTAATGCTAGCACTTTGAGAGGCTGAGGAGGGCAGATCATGAGGTCAAGAGATCGAGACCACCCTGGCCAACATGGTGAAACCCCATCTCTACTAAAAATACAAAAATTAGCTGGGCATGGTGGTGCACACCTGTAATCCCAGTATTTGGGAGGCTGAGGCAGAAGAATCACTTGCACCCAGGAGGCAGAGGCTGCAGTGAACCAAGATTGCACCACTGCACTCCAGCCTGATGACAGAGCAAGACATCGTCTCAAAAAAAAAAAAAAAAAGGTAATGTACCGTGTACTAATGTCACAGCATTGTTGAAAACATTTACATGGAGACAATAGATGTGACCATGTGGTACAGGCACTAGTTGGTGTTATGACTCACCCACCCTTTATCCCCAGATTTCTGAAAAGGCTGCTGCTTCTGTCGTCTGCAGCTATCTGCCCTTTCTAGTCTAGGATCTCATGCCCTCCCCAGCCTTCTCCACCCATTCCTCTTCTTCAACACAGTTGGACCCATGGATCCTGTTTCTTTGCTGGCGTCTGCTCATCCATGTCCCAAGGTGGAGTGGTCTATCCTGCCTACCTCTGAACTGAGCTTTCCAGGGATGCCCTTCCCCCTCCACAGAACCTCAGACAGGGCTGCACACACAGAGAAGCTCCACAGGAGATCAGGAGGCAGCAAGGCTTGAGCTCTGCATGCCTTTCCTCCTCTGGGCTCCCTGTGTCACAGGCAGGAGTGAGTGACACAGCTGTGGCAGACACTGTGGACAGAAGAGGTTGAGAGGGAACTGTGTGAAGATCTCATCCAGAGAATATCACAGGATAATCTCAGGGACTCAATTACCTATGGTGGTTTTAATTCTAGGACACACCTAATCCCAGTATCAGCTCAGGACCTAGCCCCTTCTGATTCAGACTGCAAAATCAATTTTCAGCCCTGAAAGAAGCTTCCCCAAGTCTGAGCCTCTGGGAAGCCCCTCAGACTATATGTTTTCAATCAACAAAAACCATTGACCACTCTTCTTTTCTCTCCTGGGCGGAGGAGAAATCCTGTACTGTGAGATACTAGGAGAGGGGAGGGAAGGAGGGTTTGCCTAGCCATGAGAGTATCTTCACCGCCTGACTCACAGGCAGTCACAAGCCTGGCAGGTGATGCGGCAGAGAGAATGAAGAAGCACAATCAGAGGGATACCCGACTTCTGGGGATCCGTCTACGAGTGAACGGAGGGAAGGGAGCGAGAGCCACAGGAGACTAGAAAAGGAGCACTGGCTGAGTGGGAATTAGGCAGCAAAGACAGAAGTGTAAGGAACAATGGGAGGAAGAGGGACATAGAGGGAGTGCGTATATATGTGGATTCAAGATAAAGTCTGGGTCTACAGCTGTATTTCCAGACTCCAGATTCACACCTCTTCATCTCTCTTTCTTTAGTTTCCCAGGTTAGGTGATTTGCACATATCCCTGTCTCATCAAAGAGCTGTCCTTCATTTCCCCCAAGGACAGGGCTGCTGTCCTCCCCTAGCGACCTTGATGTAGAGGTACAGCCTGACGGAGACCGAAATGGCCCCACCCCCACCCTCGGTCCCTTCTCTGGGAGTCACCTGGGTGTTTGTCCTACCCCTGCTTTGCTGCCTCAGTCACTCAGAGTCTTGGCCCAGCCCCGCCGCCCCCGCCTTCAGCACTAGGGACAGCGACCAGAGCTGAGGTCTGGACCCTCGCCCCCTTCAGCGTCCCTATTTTTCCTGGTAGTCTGTCATGCTGAACTAGGCAGGTGCTAAGGAGTGGGTGTGGGGATGGGAGATAGCGGAGCTCGGCTTCTCCCTCAGGCTGGCCCCGAGACTTAGAATAGAATTTCCCAGATCTCCGGAAAGCAGGGCTGGAGGCAGGCAGGGGTCCCAAACTCCGGTAGTGTCTGTGGTCCGGATGGGGTCCCGGGTTCCTGAAAGGGGAAATCCAGGTCTCTGGAGATCCCCTGATGTCTGCTTGCCCTTCTGGCACTCCCAGCCCGCCAAAGCACGGAGGACCTCCGGCAGGGGATACCCGCCCAGGAATTCCTAGGCTAGGTTGGGGGGGGGGGGTGACTCTCTCGCCCCACCAAAGGACCCCTGGGCCGGAAATGAAGTGATCGTGGAGGGTGGGGCGGGCCGGGCCCCGGTGTCGCTGCCCGCGAGGGTGGGATCGATGTACCCCGCCCTCCCGGCCGAGCCCCCAGTACCGGAAATCGCTGTAGGGGTGGATGATCCAGGCCCCCGCAGACTTCACCCGTTCCTGCTCGATTTCCACTGCTTTGTGGCTGCCGAACACTCGAAGGGAGAACTTGTTGACCGTGGGCTGGAGCAGCGTCCCGAGGTGCCTCCTCTTAGGCTCAGGCCCAGACCCGGGGATCGGACCTGAGGTCGCGGTCGCAGGCGGGGGAGCAGCGGGAGGCACCGCCTCCAGCCCAGGGGTCGCCCCTTCGCTGGCCCCCGCCGCCGCCGGCCCCTGCTCCGCCTCCATAGTGCCCACCTCGCTTACACGCTTGGCCTCCTAGAGCCCTCTGTGGCCATCAGTACCCCCAGCCCCTCCAGAGTAAGAGTCGGCGCAGCCCCGCGGGCTCTAGCTGAGGCGTCGTAGGCTAGGAACCGCGGGCGCGCGGGGCGGAGGGGGTGTGTGCTAGACTGGCGGCGGCGGGCGGCGGGAGGCTGTGCGGCGCCCCCTGGTGAGGGCTGCGCGAAGACTGGGCGGGGCTGGGAAGCCGGGTTCCTGGAGGAACTCCGAGATGGGGGCGGCTTAGCAAAGCAGGCGGGGAGCACAGCCAGAGCCAGGGAGAGGGCGTGGCCTAGCGTTGGCCTTTCATCCACTCAAAGCCAGGGAGGAGGCGCCCCCTCCAGTGGCGGGAAAACCGGACGCGAGTTTGTAGCTCGAGGAACTTGGGAGCGCGAGGGATTGGGGGCCAATGGAAGAAGTGGACATGGCTTTTGGGATTATTCCCCATTCTCGCCCATGGACTTCTGTCTTGATTCCATCTTCTCTTAACACCTCTAGGAATATTCTTGTCTTTTGATTTCCTCTGAACTGCTTCCCCTAGTATTTAATTTCCTAATTCGTTCTGTCAGCTTTCACCAAGTGCCTCTCTGCCCGTCACTGAGTCGACGCTGAGGAAACAAAGACGAGTACGAAAGTCCTAGCCTTAGCATCTCCATGTCGTAATGAAAAACAACACAAAACAAAAACAAAGTCCTAGCCATAAAGCTACTGCTCATCTCTGCCCAAGGACAGACAGGTAAATTGCAGTGCTATGCGAAGTTAAGTGCTATAAATTCCCAGATATCTCAAATTCTTCCCTTCATCTCCAATTCTTGCCACTGCCTTATTTCAAGCTCTCGGCATTTTTTCACCTAAATTATTTCAGAAACCTCTAAGTCTTCAACCTCTTCCAGACCAATTCTTCTTCCATTCTCTGCCAGTTACCTTCCTAAAATCCAACTATGCCTATATCGCTTGCCTGAAGTCCATTGTGCTTTCCCATCTTCTATAGGACTACATTTAAGTTCTTTAGCATGATGTATGAGGTCCTAAAAAATGTGGACCTAGTTTCAACAATATCTCTTCTGACAGTCCCACTCTTGAAAGCCAGAGCCCCAATCACTCTGAAAGACTTTGTGCTGCCTTGTCTCTATGTTTTTGCAAATATTTTCTCTGCCTGGTATTCTCCTCCAATTCACTTTCCAACGGTTGGTTCAGATCTCGCCTTCTCTAGGAAACCTAGGAACACATTTCCAACTCTCCTTTCCCCAGGTAGGGTCTATTCTAGAGCCTTTTTTTTCTCCCCAAGATGGAGTCTCACTCAGGCTGGAGTGCAATGGTGCGAGCTCAGCTCACTGCAACCTCCGCCTCCTGGGTTCAAGCAATTTTCCTGCCTCAGCCTCCTGAGTAGCTGGGATTACAGGCGTGCACCACCAAGCCCAGTAATTTTTGTATTTTTAGTAGAAATGGGGTCTCACCATGGTGGCCAGGGTGGTCTCGGATTGATGACCTCATGATCTGCCCAGCTTGGCATCCCCAAGTGCTGGGATTACAGGTCTCAGCCACTGCGCCCAGCCTATTCTAGAGTTTTTTTATGGCAGCCAGGGCATTGCTGTTTTGAGCAGCTCGTGTCACAGGGCTACAATTATTTATTTATTTGTTTGTTTATTTTGAGATGGAGTCTCTCGTCACCTAGGCTGGAGTGCAGTGGCACAATCTCAGCTCATTGCAACCTCCGCCTCCCGGGTTCAAGCAATTCTCCTGCCTCAGCCTCCTGAGTAGCTGGGATTGCAGGCATCTGCCACCATGCCTGACTAATTTTTGTACTTTTAGTAGAGATGGGGTTTCACCATGTTGGCCAGGCTGGTCTAGAACTCCTGTCCTCAGGTGATCCACCCATCTCGGCCTCCCAAAGTGCTGGGATTATAGGCATGAGCCACCACATGTGGTCCCATTATTTATTTACAGGTTTGCCTCTCCTGTTAGATTGTAAAACTCTGAGAAACAGGAACCTTGCATCTGGCACAATGCTGGACACATAGTGGACATTTATTAAATGCTTGTTGAATGAATAAATAACCTAGGAAAAGGTTCCAGGAGGAGGAAATGAAATCTCTACTTCTCTCTCCCCAACTTCTTCATTGATTGTCCTTCATCGTCTATTTTAGGGAACTTCTCTAAACTATGTCTGGTTAACTGATCTAACTTCAATCTGACTATCCTTCATCCAGCTCCCCTCTAATATTTCCTGACTTCATTTAGTTACTCATTCTAGACTCAGGATCTTGCCTGTTGCCCAAGCTGAAGTGCAGTGGTGTGATCATGACCCATTGCAGCCTCAAAGCAATACTCCCGCCTCAGTTTCCTGAGTAGCTAAGACTGCAGGTGTGAACCACCTTGCTCAGCTCCCTGACTTTAATATAGTTATATGTAAATTTTTGGTGCTGCAAAACAAGTAGCACTCCAATATAAATTTTCTCAGCAAGGTAATTTACTTCTATAGAAGGGTGTGTCTCATATATGGAGCAATGGTGAGTGCACACATGGACAAGGGAAGAGAAGGGGTTCTTATTCCTGATGCAGGTAGCCCCCACTGCTGTATCCTTCCCCTATTGGCTAGGGTTGGACCGCACAGTCTAAACTAATTCTGACTATTTTAAAGAGAGCAGGAGTATGAGCTGAAGTGGTGGGGTGGGTAGTTTGGTGGGAAGATGGCTATGGATCGGGTCAGAACAGGTGACCAGGGGTGACTCAGGTCAAAGCAGGTGACCAGGGGAACAGATGTGAACTACTGATTAGAACTGGTGGGAAAGTTGTTTACCAAAACTAGAGGCAAGGGAGTACAGAGAATCAGGAAGCTAAACTTTAAAAGGGAGAATTAAAGAATAAGGGAGCTAAACATACTGATGTACTGATTATTTGAAGAGAAACCTGGAGTTCACTATATCTAACATAGTTATTCTCAAATTATATTATTTCCCTTTCAATTTACATTTCTGACCACTTCTCAATTCTTTCTGTAGAGTAACTCTTTCTCCTCATTTTCTTTTTTTTTTAGGTAGGGTCTCACTCTGTCGCCCAAGGTGGAGTGCAGTGGCCTGATCACAGGTCACTGCAGCCTCAACCTCCCTAGGTTCAGTGATCCTCCCACCTCAGCCTTCCAAGTAGCTGGGACTACAGGTGGGAGACACCATGACTGGCTAATTTTGTTGTTGTTGTTTTTGAGACACAGTCTTACTCTGTCATCTAGGCTGGAGTGCAATGGCACCGTCTTGGCTCACTGCAACTTCCACCTCCCAGGTCCAGCAATTCTCATGCCTCAGCCTCCTGAGTAGCTGGGATTACAGCCACCGGCCACCACACCCAGCTAATTTTGGTATTTTTAGTAGAGACAGGGTTTCGCTATGTTGGCCAGGCTGTCTTGAACTCTTGTGCTCAAGTGATCTACCTGTCTCGGCCTCCCTAAGTGTTGGGATCACAGGCATGAGCCACCGCACTCTACCTAAATTTTGTATTTTTTGTAGAGTCTGGGTTTCACCCTGTTGCCCAGTCTGGTCTCAAACTTCTGTGTTCAAGTGTTCCACCATCTCTACAAGAAAAAATGTTTTTAAAAATTAGCCGGGCGCGGTAACACGCGCCTGTAGCAAACTCATATTTCTTACACATTATGTAAGCCACCTTAGGATACAGTTCTCAAGTGAGTCCCCCTTTTCGGCACACAATTCTCCATCCCTTCATTGCTCAAATCTTTCCTCCATGGCTTTGTCCCCACCCCCAGTGGTGCATAACTTTTGTTGATGACAAAAGGTGGCAAACTTCTGTCCTGGGGATAGGTAGGTCAAGTTTTAAGAAATGGTTATTTTCAGGCTATGCAGGAGAATGAGACTTCACCATCAAGCCTCACTAGAGTCAAGCTTGATGGTGAAGCCCGCCTGGAGCCAGGCTAGCAGCGACACTGTAAATGACAATCCTTTCTTTTAAACTCCAAACCTAACTAAGCCACGCGTCTCCATGCAAAGGGTAAAAGACTGAAGAGGGGGTGGGAAAGGATATGAGACGGAACGTAGCGGGCCTAGAAGGCTTCCAGCGCGTCCCAGTGGACCCTTCTTGCCCCTGAGAACTTCTGCCCCCAGTATCTCAGGGGTTCTGACAGACCGACGCCTGCCAGCTACGTGAGCACGTGGTGGCGCGCGCGGTGCTGGGGGCGGAGCCCAGCGGGTATCTGGGAAGCGACGCAGGACGTGCGTCCGTGCGTACGTGCTCGCTCTCGGCGGCGGCGGCGGAGCGGAGAGGCCAGAGCCGGAGACCGAGCTGGGATCGGGCCCCGGGCGGGGGCGGTGCGAGCGGCGCCAAGCAGATCTTAGGGGCGGGGACGGAGCCGGGGCGGGCGGGACTGAAGCGGAGCCCGGGAACGGGGCGGGAGGTCCCAGGGTCCCGGGTTGGGGGGGTGGAGCAGCACTTCGTCGCCGCGGTGGTGCCGGGACTCCGGCCGCAGTGCCGCCGCCATCACGGACTTCCTGTGGGACAAGCGCACGGGCCTCGCCGCCAGAACGGTGAGCGCGCGGGCTGGCTGGCCGCGGGGCCCGGCGAAAAGATGGCGACCGCGGGGCGGGCGGGGTTAGGCTTGGATTGGGGGCAAGGGACGGGGGCGAGATTTGGAGAGGAGGAGAGTTGAGACCTATGAAGGGGCAGAGTAGGGAGATGAGGAGGAAGGAGGTCGGCCTGCCTGGGATGTACGGAGAAGACCTATAGGAAACTTGGGCGGAGCCAGAGTAGAAGGGGTGATAAAGTAAGGATAAGAGTGGTTCCAGAGCTGTGAAGGAGCAGAATATCAAAGTTGGACTCAGGAGTCCAGTCAAAGCTGAAGGGGAGGAACCATGTCACTTGCAGCATGCAGGAAGAATTTGCCTGTAGGAGTTCTGGATTTTCTGAGTAAGGAAAAAGCAAACGATTTCGAACTTGAGAAAGGTAGGCTAGAGATTCTTTGAGGGTAAAGTACTGTGAGGCCATTTGATGGTAGTGTGTGGTGAGATGGCATTTATGTGACTATGCTAATTAGAATGGATTACCTGGGAATATACTGTGCTTGCCTCTTAGTATTTTACCGGCCCCAGTTACGCCAATAATGCATCAAATGCCACCCTCCTCAATTTGGGGAGGTTGGGAAGATAGGATGCAGAATGGGAGTCAGACATTGGAATCATTAAACCTTTTGCATACCCGATTCTCATGCACCCGCCCCCCCAACCCAGACTTCTGTCCCTGAGCCTGTTTCGTTTTACTCTGCCTTCCTATTCTCATCTTCCTGGATTGTGACAGTGATTTTTCTCTTTTTTCCTTGAAGGAAAAAAAGATTTGTGAACCATTCCATTAACTGGAAGGTGGCCAGCTCTCAGCCAAATAGGGCTGATATTAATTAAAAACCAGTTATTGTCTACGTCTTAAGAACA